CACACACACAGGCTCACAACAACATTGTGACATCATATGGTACCAGCTAACGTTCTAGGGTACCTCTTAGCCAATAGCGATGGCAGATTTAAATTCAAATGCAGTGCAGAGTTTTTACCTGACAACGGCACAACACTGACAGTTTTAGGCAGAAAATTAAAATTTTAACTAAAACGTACTAAAGTGCAAAACTATTGACTACTTGTGTCTGCAGCACGATTAGACACACATTTATATAGTTTATCAGAAAAGATAAGTTGATTTGTGAGTGACTTGCTCTTTAACTCTAAATTATATCTTAATTTCTGCAGTTTTTCTCTCCCATTTTTATCCCCCCACAACTCACGCCAGGAATTTAAAATCCCTTACCAACATCCTGGAAAACCTCCTTGGAAATTCTCTTTTTGCCACCTGGCTTTAGGATTCAGCCCCCAAACATCAAAATATCTGTAACTGATCAATACTGTGCAGGTGTAGACTTGCAGATTTAAGCTTTAATTAGAAAGAGAGCTAACACAAACTTAATGTGAGTTTGACAGAATTAAAATGAACAAAATCATCCTGTCTTGTCGTATTAAAGTGTTGTTGCTTCAGGACTGACTTAACTCACATAAAACTCATTAATTCGCAGAGCTCATGTCGTCGGGCCAAAGGCGTTCCGCCCACACTGAGTCACACTGCATTTCCTCACTGAGACCTTTGAACAGAATTACAGCGTTATGACATCAAACTGGTGCCAGAACACACACACACACACACCCATGAGAAAAACTGGTGTAGATAACAGTTTTCGTTATTCAAAGGTTATGGAAATCCAGTCATTTAAATATGTGACCATTTAATCCCACTAACTTTCATGTTGGTAGTGTGTTTTACTCTAAATCTGCTTAAAACACACAAAGAAAACCAAAATTAGAATTTATTATGTTCAGATTTTCCAATAAAATTTAAATAGTAGCCTAAAATATTTTTTAGCTTAATATTAATTTTCTAATATAATTATTGATTTACATTATTTTTTTACTCGGATGAATAAAAACACCTGAAACCTCAAATGAACTACGGATTAAATTCTAAATTTAACAAATTTTCACGTTTTGTTTTCTGCTTTATAAGATTCAGAATCAGATGTTTAACGAAAAAGAGCTTAAACAATACTTTAGATTACAGATTTAAACCCTTACATGTCAGATTTGTTCCAGTTAGGTTTCGATTGATGCGTTTATGATCCAAAACAGACTAGAACACGTTGCTCTCAGAGGACGCAAACGTCGAGCAGCTGAGACTCGATAAATTACCTCCTAAGATGGGAGCTTAACCCTCTGTGACGTGATGTTGGTGTTAGATAGCAAACTGACAGTCAGCTGCCATAATAAAGCAGATTTTGTGTGTGTGTGCGTGCGTGTGTGTGTGTGTGCGCGTGTGTGTGTGCGTGCACGTGTGTGTGTGTGTGTGCGTGCGTGTCAGTCGAGCTGGAGTGATTTTATGGGGTTTCAACTGTCTTTGTTTCTTCACCATGTGATGTTTCCATTTGGGGTGCAACAACATCCATCTGTTGGTCAAAGAGCCTTTAAATCTATTTTTTATTATTTCTGTGTTTAGAAAACAAAATATCATGGAGATGCTGGACAGTTTTTAATGAAACCCTCAAAGTGATGATTAGATGTGCATCTTCTACATTTTTTAGGTAAATCTGATTTTAAGAGCAAGTCACCCACTTTCAGAGTCTTACTCTCGTAGTTTCTTGTTTTTGCTGGGGACCCCCTGTATTTTACCGCTCCCTCCTGCAGTCTTCCCCAATTAAAATTTAAAATGATTCTGTAAATTCCGTGTATCAATGAGGCGAAAGGTGAGACGTGTCATAATTTCTCCCCAAGCCCCCCCCCCCCCCCCCCCCCCCCCAGTCAGTCGGTATATACAATTGTATATAATTGTATATGCATAACATTACTGCCCATATGTAAATAGCGCTGTAGAACTGTAACAATACTGTGCAATAATTTGTATATAACACTTACTGTCAATAGCACTGCAGAAGTGTGTGTGTGTCCCCCCCCCCCCCCCCCCAGTATGTTTGTGTTACACTGAGTAGGAGATGCTCTGTATCTCACTTTACACCTGTATAGTGACAATAAAGGCATTCTATTCTATTCTATTCTACTCCACTCCCACTTCCTTGGGCGACAGTGGCACAGGAGTTAAGTGCTCACCGTGTAATCGGAAGGTTGCAGGTGCCCATCTCCAGCGGTCAACGGGCAATCAGGCGGGGTACACCCTGGACAGAGAGCCAGTCCATCGCAGGGCAACACAACACAGGACAAACAATCATGCACACACACACACACACACACACACACACACACACACACACACACACACACACACACACACACACACCTAAGGACAATTTGGACAGACCAATCAACCTAACAGTCATGTTTTTGGACTGTGGGAGGAAGCCGGAGTACCCGGAGAGAACCCACGCACGCACAGGGAGAACATGCTAACTCCATGCAGAAAGTTCCCAGGCCGGGAAGCGAACCCAGGACCTTCTTGCTACAAGGCAACAGCTCTAACCACTGTGCCACTGTGCAGCCTCTGCCTCAACATAAAAACTACAACTGGTTTTGCCAACACTCACTTTATTGCAAATGCTTTTTAACAGTAATGTCAACAACGTGTCTTCTTACATTTTAAGTTGAACTTATAACCTATTGCCTGACATGCTGCATGTTTGTATAAAAATAAAATAAAAACAGTCTTTTTTTGACCTCACTTAAATAAATAATATTCATAAAAAATAAAACGCACAGAGTGTACAACCAACCTTAATATTTTCATCTTTAGCTGACACAAACTCTAAATAGGGACTGTATTTCCAGCTAGAAAACGCACCTCTCTCTCCTCCCGCCATTGTTGCTCACGCTGTAGTGCGTCGCTAGCTGGCGCTGCTTGGTAGGTGAGGACGAAAACATCACGTGACCTGTCGCATACGTGACGTCACGCCCCGAGACAGAAGAAGAGACCACTGCAGTGCGGAACTTTCGGAACAGGCAGCAGGCAAGGTGCATTATGGGTAGCCAGCTTTCCAGTTTCATGTTCTTCATTGTGCGTTTTGTTGGGGTTAGGGTTATTCAGTAATATGATTTTGCACCATGAGTGAGAGTTATATTCTAACAAATGGCATCGCGGTGCCATTCTGTTGTTTAGTAAAGCAGTATACTGCTTCCCTCGTGCGAGGAAAGTGCACATTGATTGGGTAAATGCGTAATGCAAAGCTGATCTTGGCTCTTCCTCTGCCATGCTATTCTTCCTTTACTCAGGATTTTCCTAAGCAGAAATTATGCAGAGTAAAGGACAAAATAACGCACAATGGCTTGGACAAGTAACTTTAATTTGAAGAAGAAGAAGAAGTATCATTTCTATAGCGCCTCTCAAGATAAAAATCATGAGGCGCTTCACAAAAACAAAAACTGTAAAAATATAAAAAAGCATTTAGAAAATGTTTAAAAATATATTTAAAATGAGAATTGTGATTAAAAATGTTAAGAAAGAGAGAGAGTGAACAGGAAAGAGGGAAACCAGTGGATCCTGAGGAAGGTGGAATAGGTGGGGAGAGCAGAATAAAGAGAGAGAGAGAGGTGAAGAAGGTCATACAAAAGCCAGCTTGAACAAGTGAGTCTTCAGCTGCTTTTTAAAGGAGACCACTGAGTCCACTGATCTCAGGCTCAGGGGGTGAGAGGTCCAGAGTCTGGGGACCACAGCAGCAGATGATCTGTCACCTTTGGTCTTTAGCCTGGTGCTGCACAACCAGTAGGCTTTGGTCACTGGACCTCAGGGACCTGCTGGGGGTGTAGGGACTAAGAAGATCACCAATGTAAGATGGTGCTTGTCCATGTAAGGCCCTATAGACCAGAACCAGGATCTTGAAATGAACCCTGAAGTTGACTGGCAGCCAGTGAAGCTGGAGGAGAAGCGGGGTGATGTGGGTGTGTTTGGAGGACTTGGTCAGAAGCCGAGCACAGGCGTTCTGAACCACCTGTAGACGGTTCAGGGAGGTTCTGCTCAGACACGTGAAAAGAGAGTTACAGTAGTCTAAGCCCTTCTTTCCACCGGAGCCGTCAGCAGCGCGAGTCGGCCGCGTCTCAGGAGCAGCATGTCGCGGCCCTTACGCGCCGGTTCTATTTTCTACGCGCGACGCCTCTGAAACGGGTCAAGTTCGACATTTTTGGGGAAGGAAAGACAGGAAATCGGATGCGGAAATGGAGCGAAGCTCACGAGATTTTCAGAATAAAGAAACGTACTGCCTTTGGATGCTTTACTTTAAAAAAAAAAGTTACTAACTGTGTGGCCCGTGAGAAGTTATCACCTAGCTAGCGGTCTCCTTTGTTTTTCAGGTCCGTATTGGCGATTATAAAACGGACAGAACATAAAACACAAACCATGTTGTAGTTTTCTCCTGCTTGTTGTTGTGTTTACTGACGAAGTCACTCGTGTGACTTCGTGCTCGGTCGGTGACAGCTGCTCCCCTGCTGCTTCGCGTCTCGTGGGAAGGGCCAAGCAGCAGCTTACGCGAGCAAGACGTGCTGCTGCAGTAACGTGCTGCTGACGGCTCCCGTGGAAAGAAGGGGTAAGCGTGAGGAGATGAAGGTGTGGAGAACTGTCTCAAGTTCAGAGCGGGACAGAATGGGACTCAGCTTAGCAACGTTCCTGAGATGGAAGAAGGAAGAGCCAACAAGAGAACTGACATGAGAATCCAGGGTGAGAGCTGGGTCAAAGGTCACGCCAAGATTCCTGACATAGGGTTTGGTGTGGGAAGCGAGCTGACCAAGAGAGTCTCTGACTTTGGGAACCAGCTTGTCTGGAGCACAGATGAGGATCAGTCTTGATTACTAGTATGGCGATAGTAACGCGTTAGGTTAGCCGTTACCAAGAAATGACATTATTTTAGAGTAACGCGTTACTGGCATCACTGGTTGCAAGTTAGGAAAAAGTTGTGCTTTTCTCTGTCCCTCATACTGACGAAGCACAGCAGTGTATTATTGGAGTGTGTGTGTGTGTGTGTGTGTGTGTGTGTGTGTGTGTGTGTGTGTGTGTGTGTGTGTGTGTGTGTGTGTGTGTGTGTGTGTGTGTGTGTGTGTGTGTGTGTGTGTGTGTGTGTGTGTGTATTTAGCTTCATGGGGTCTGAACCCCCTGCTGGTTTTACTCTCAGCGTGGGAACAACATCTTGCTTCTCTCTTCTTTCTTTTGTGTAAAACTTAATTTTAAATCATTTCTCCAGACAGTGAAACAACTCTGGTGTCGCTTTTCTTTATTCACACACGTGTGTGTGTGTGTGTGTTTTTTGTCCCAGGAGCTGAGGAGCAGGACGTCTCTGGAGACTCAGAAGTTGGACCTGATGGATGAAGTGTCCTACTTGAAGCTGAGGCTGGTCAGTGTGGAGGAGATGCACACCAACACCCTCCCCCAGGTTCCTGCAGACATCAAGAATAACAAAGCTGAGGTAGGGAATGACCCAAGAGGAGGATTTTCACTTTAGCAAAAAAAATAAATAAAAGCTTTTATTATTTTCAAGATTTGTGATGCATTTGGGATTAGCATTCCTAACATGTTTAAGAGATCCTAAGAGATTATTTCAACTGGCTTACTGCACAAAGAATGAGATTTAAATCTCTTCTCATGACATTTTTATGTGAATTCATCCTTTTTTTGGTTGAATAATTGCTAAACTTTAACACGATAATCCACAAACACAAACTACAAACATGTTTCTAAAATAATCAAACTGATCCCGTAGTCCCGTCAGACATGCCGTGTACATGTAGATGTGTGTTGTTAGTCTGGCTTCAGTGTTTTTATTGTCTCTGAGCCAGAAGGGGACTATTGCTCTGGTCCAAGTCATTCAACGCATCTAAAATAGACGGTTTCCCAAACACAGGATCATTCCCACTGGGATCTTTGGGAAGGAAACGGGAACTCTGGACAGAAAACTTTTACATATTTAGACAGTAAACTGCTAACATGAGTGGCTCAAATCCAGGGCATGTGACGATTTAACAAAGTGGTGGATGCTGTCACCCATAAATGCTGTGGAGTTAAAACTCTGCAGGTCTTATCCAAACAAGGAGGACTTGGCCGGATTCCAGAAGAGCGATAATAATTTTACTTTAACCTCCTGGGAGCCAAACCTGTTTTTGGTGTGATTTAAGACACATCTAGCAATTACAGTTTAGTCGACTGTAAATAACAGAAACAAAACTACAAAAGTTAAAATGCAATAAAAATAAGTAAATGCCCTAAACAAAGAAACAAAAATGTTTTAAAGTAAAGTCGATACCAAGCAGGGCTGGGCGACATGGCCTAAAATTAATATCACGATATATTGAGGATTTCACCTCGATAACGATACATGGCCGATAACCACGGGTATGCGCCAAAGCAAAAGCTGTCCACTAGTTGGGGCTGTCACGTGTGTTACGTTGACTCAAGGTGTTACAGCTTCTTAAAGGGACATGAACGTTACCAACTTAAGCCCGAGTCATGCTTCTCCGTCAGCTCCAACAGGGAGAGACACGCACGGACGGAGACGTTTAGCCCTCATGCTTCTCCGTCTCCTGGGGAGTGTTGCAGAGCAATTCCCCGCCAGGACAGCAGAGGGCGTAGCACTGCTCTGTGGTATCCTGTCATGTATCAGTCCAAGATAGTGTGTTTATATTGTGTTTTTTGTATATAAGAGACTTTTTAACACAGACAAATTTGTCTCTCATCCTCCTCCACCTCTTCATGCGCTCGCCACCTCTAAACCCACGTTTCCTGTCATTTCCGTCCACAAATAAAATGCTTGCTGCGCATCTTTTCACTCCTCCAGTCACGGGGGAATTAAATGTTCATATTGTTAGAGTTTTTTCACGAGGTATTCTTCAAGCTTCTCCGCGTCTGCTGCTAGTTATCCTTGGCTCTCTTTATGTTTTTGAGCGCGCAATGGCGGCGGTGCAGATGACAGCGGTGCCCTGACCAATCACAAGCTTGCGTTCTCCGTCTCGATGGACGGATGTTCAGAAAAGAGATCGCAACTCCATCCGTCCTTACGAGCCTGCAGGAGAGCCCTCGCAAGGACGGATAACGGCGTTGCGTGTCTCCGCCCTGACGCAGACGCAGAAGCACGACTCGGGCTTTACACACATCGTTTCATTTTTGTATTATCAAATTTGTTGCCATGGGAAAAATTACCACAATAAGAGTCAGAAATATCTAACGATAAATTTTCTATTTATTGCCCAGCTTTTATTGCCCAGCTCTAATACCAAGTGTCTATAAAGAATAACAAAATGGTTTAAGTAGAAGAGAATAATAACTTTGCACAGGTTGGAAAAGAAAAAAAATCTATTTTTAAATGCATGATTTGTGTTTAGATGTCCTCCCGAGAGCCAAGCTTTCCTCTGATGTGCTTTTTTATTCTTACTTTTGGGTTAGTAGGACCTCAAACTCAAAACCAACATTGATAAAAAATTCTAAAGTAAAACATTGATTTAAATTTTCAAAATAGGAAAACCAATTTTTATCTGCTTCACAAGTTTTCCTGTTGTTTTTGTTTGTTTGTTTGTTTTGTTTTTGCCGAGTAAAACGATAAAAACTTTCTGTTGAAACTGGATTAACCAAAACTTTCCTTACAGATGTTGTTTGACCGGTTAGGGTTTCCCACCAAACCAACCAGTAAATCACACAAAAGCTTTTCCCACAGCTCTTTGCCAACATGACGTGTAAATCTAACAGCAGCGACTTGTAAGGTCTTATCAGGCGATAACGGATCCACCCGTTTTGTCCTCACTCCCGCCACGCAGACAACGAGCCAAAGTAAAAAACACAAAACGTCCCCTTCATGAGAAATCTGCAGAGCTGATGAAATGTTTCTGAGATGGAAAAGTCAGCGCTGATGCTCTGAAACAAGCCAGGACGCATCAGACGGCCTCTGCAGATGGTTTCAACAACAAACAGCTGACACAGAAACGTTTCCTCAGACATCGAAAAAATTCCTCCTTAAAAAGAATCAAAGGGTAGATTAGTTAAAAGTGTCCTTAAGACTTATTTTCTGCATTATTTGTCATGAAAGGATGAAACCTTTAAGAACTGTTGCTCATTTCTATTTTCATTAAAGAGCAAGTCACCCCCCCACCAGAGTGTTAAGGTGGGCGGACACTGTGCGACTTTTTCACTCGTAGCACTCAGCTTCAGCTCAAACTGTACGACTTCCTGGCAGGGCAGATCTCACGAGTCATGTGCTCACACTGTACGTCTGGTAGCAACACGTCGGACCAAAAATATGCTAAAAATAGCAGTTTTTACACAACACGTCAGACTTTTTTGTCTTGTTTTGCCTGTTGTCCTTCGGGAGTGCTGCAGGAGGACACACAGGGATTTATGGGGGTTGGATGAGGAAAACGAAATAAAGAAAGCAAATCTGTGTTTTGTGATCAGTTTAATTAGACATGAACACGACAAACACGCTTTCTAGACAATCTTTGTGAGTAAAAAAAACATGTAGAAATAAAAAAGAACAACGTGTGTTATTAGGGAAATAGCGGGCGAGCGGTGTTGATGCAGGATTGCGCATGCGCCGTGAGCGGTTCTGGTACTTTTTGGGTCGCAGCTGCTCGCAGCGCCGCTTCAACAGTGCGATACCCTCACGAGGGACGAGCAAAATATCAAACACGCCAGAAGTCCGTGCGACCTCACGATTGCTGATCGGTAGCTGGTCACGTGGTGTTAATCGCCTCTCGTAACCCCCTGTACACTACACGACGCTCGGCGCAAAACTCGCCCCGATCTCGTGGATTCTCGCACGAGTGGAAAACCGGATCAAAAAAGTGAACAAGTCGCACAGTGTACGCCCGGCTTTACTCCACTCCCACTTCCTGTTTGAAAAATGCAACAAATGCTGTTGCCTAGCAGACCGAGAGGGCGGAGCCGCTAACAAACACACACACACACACACACACGGCTCACAACAACATTGTGACATCATATGGTACCAGCTAAGGTTCTAGGGTACCTCTTAGCCAATGAAATTCCATTGCAGAGTTTTTACCTGACAACAGCACAACACTGACAGTTTTAGGCAGAAAATTAAAATTTTAACTAAAATGCACTAAAGTGCAAAACTATTGACTACACGTGTCTGCAGCACGATTAGACACGCATTTATGTAGTTTATCAGAAAAATAAGTTGGTTTGGGGGGTGACTGGCTCTTTAAGGACGTAACAGTGCATCTTTAATCTGCAGGAACCCTTAAGATTCGCAGCAGTGTCTTTTAAATCACGTCTGGATGATGTCATTACTTTAAGTGAAAAGCAGCGTGCTGCGTCCTCCTAAAGACGAGTTTCTGCTCCAGTAGAGGTAGAACCCGTCGCACCGAGGACGTTGTTTCTTTCCAGCCTTGTCCAGCTTGTCTTTGTGCTTTTCTTAGCTTACTCTTTGTACATTGTGACACTCGGCTGCTGTGTGCATGTGTGAAGCTACCATCCGGGGGGCGTGCGTTGAACAAATAAACACAATTCAGCATTTTTGACATGCAGGGGCCCATACTGTGTGCTCACACACGCAGACACACAAATGAAGGAGGTGTGATAAGCATCAGTGGAAGCAGACCAAGGAGGAAAAGCAGCAAATGGGAGGGATGAAAAGGAAAAACAGCTGGCGTGACAGGAAGTGAGGATCAGAAGTGAAAGGTTCACTTTACAAGGCGTCACGCGGCTTGTGAGGATATTTAAAATAAAAATCCTGCAAGGTGAAACTGTCAGCGGCGCCTGATGCTGTGAGAACGTCATGGGGGATTAGACTCTTCGTCGTTGTTGTTGCTCACTGTTAAAAGTGATGAAAGGAAAGTTGTCTGAGCTGTTCTCAGACTTGCATCGGTGAAAGAACAACATTCGTGCTTGCTCAGATTAAATGTGTGAAAAGAGCTGAATTTGTCCCACCGTGGTCCTCCAGAGCCACCATCCTTCACCTGTTAGTTGTTTCTCACACCTGCTTCAATAATAAACCGTCTCAGCAGAAATGGAACACTATCAGAGGAAAGAGTAAGTAAAGTTTATTTATATAACACTTATCACAAAGAAAACTCACAAAATGCTTCACAAGAACAACAAAATGGTAAATGGCTTGTATTTGATATAACGCCTTCTAGAGTCCTGGAGCCCCCCAAGGTGCTTTACAACACAATCAGTCATTCACCCATTCACACACTGGTGGGGATGAGCTACAATGTAGCCACAGCTGCCCTGGGGTGCACTGACAGAGGCGAGGCTGCCGAGCACTTGCGCCACCGGTCCCTCCGACCACCAGCAGCAGGCAGTGTGGGTTAAGTGTCTTGCCCAAGGACACAACGACAGCGACAGACTGAGCGGGGCTCGAACCTGCAACCTTCCGATTGCGAGGCGAGCACTTAACTCCTGTGCCACCGTTGCCCCAATAGTCATAAAATCATAAAATGATCAGAAAACTAATATAAAATAAAGATGACAAATAAATAAAATCAGAAAACAAAGTTTAGAAGTTTTAAAGGGACTTTACAGAATTTTGAATTTTTATGCTCGCCATTGCCCCCTCTGGCCAAAAGCGTAATGGCAGCTTCAATAGTAGGCTCGTGCACGAGGAGCGCATGCTGTACGTGCACACTCCTTAACAAAATTAACAGCTGAGACAGTCCCTTGTGTGTGTGCGTGTGCGGGCGGGCGGGCGGGCGTGCGTGCGTGCGTGTGTGTGTGTGTGTGTGTGTGTGTGTGTGTGTGTGTGTGTGTGTGTGTGTGTGTGTGTGTGTGTGTGTGTGTGTGTGTGTGTGTGTGTGTGTGTGTGTGTGTAACAGCTGCGACGCTGCAGCAGGCTGGTAGAAGGAATGACAGTCATCCACTTTCACTTCAGGAAACCACAAACAAAGAGGCGATGAACGCCTCAAAGACATGAGAGCTTATCACATTCTTCAATTAGAAGTAGCCATGAAAAATGTCTGACGTGCATAAAAAGTGCACGTCCTCAGTGTTTCTTTATTTTATTGTATAAATAGTTTATGAACTAATAAACACGAATGTGTGATTTTTGTGCATAGCTGATGGTGGATTCTGCAGAAGTCCCCGAAACAACCAAGTAACAGAATGTGCAGCCATTTTTTTAAATCACATGCACCTTTAGCCTGCAGCGCTCCGGTTGGGACTGACAGAGGGTGTTTGTGAGTCCCTGCTTCCTTCAGCGACCCCGGAATAACCCGCTAACCCGTTTACTCCTGTCCGGCTGTCCACACGTGGCTGATGGGACACAAAGACTCTCGCTGTGTTGGGTTACAGAGTTGAACGCGTATCTGTGTCTCCACTATCTCATCTATGTGAGACGTTGAGGCCTGATGCCTGACCTGCATCTGCCTCCAGACTAGCCCTCTCTCACTCTGGTTGGGTTCAGGTTAAGTGTTCAGTGTTGGATACTTGGTCAGAAATACATTTTCATCCACAGAGGATCAACATGTGATGGTATCTCCTCCCTGTACAGGCCTGACTTAAGCATTTGTCTGATTATCTTCTCCTCTTCTTGTTTCCCTCACCCTCTCATCTGACTTTTATTTATTTCTCTTTTCGTCACCTCACCTTACGTCATCACTTGCCCTCCACCTCCTCCCAGTCCGTGGTAAATCTCATCAGTGAGCTTCAGGAGCAGATGTGCAAGTTTCAGGAGGAGATCAGCACCCGCATCCAGGAGAAACGGGCCCTGGAGGGGAAGGAGGGGGGGCCCGGAGGCCACCCAACCCAGGACTGCAGTCCTCCTGTCGGACCCGTCTGCTCAGACCTGAGCCTCTCTGGGTCCGATTCCCGGAGTTGCAAAGGAGGACAGACTGTGCACGTAGGGAGACTTGATGGATGAACTCCTCTTATACTCCTTCCCCATCATTCCCTCTCTTCCTCTCTCCTCCTCTAACCCATCCTTACTCCGCCTGGTATTTGGATTTTCCCACAGAATCAAACTAACAACCCTTGGTGATGTGTGTGCAGAGTGTTTATGTCCTGCAGGGTTGTCGGGATGACGCTCTGGTTTTTGCAGAAATAAGAACGATGATTGGTTTCCTAAATGCTTCCACACATTTAAGGAGTTGGGGATTATTAAACCTGATCCTGGGGAATCTTTCTGTGTCCTTCTCCTGAAATATCTGAAACGTTTGTCCTCGTGAATCCTCGTCCGGGGTCGGCGTTGTGTTTTTACACCATCGGACGTGGTCTGTTTGCATGAAGACTTTTCTTCCACCTACTAACAGAGTTTCTGCCTGCTTCCTCCTGCTCTGACCAGGTGGATGGGTTGTGTGACGAGAAGTAATTCTTTACAAGGTTTCCCTCAGACTCTGATGATGATCAGCTGGCAGATGTGCAGCCTGGACCCTCTCCAGTCATGTTCTGGGTTCCTCCTCTTCCTGCCTGTTGATAACTGCACATTGTGGTGTTTATTTCAGGAGGATCCTGTTTCCCTTATTAACCTCAGCACCGTCCTGCCCTGGAGACTTTTAATAACTGCACTAAATATCGCCCTGATGTTAAACCCTCCCGTTCATATCTTAGCATGCACGTCCCAGCGCTGCTGACAGAGCTCTGCTGATTCTGGTATTTGGATGTGGTCTCTTCGTGGTTTATGACTTCTAAAACTTGCTCAGAACGGACTTTTACTGTTGAATCCGGTGTTTTAAATAAAAGGGTATGTTTTTCTGGCTTGTCTGCAGGATTTGGTTCAGGAAGTTAAGGAGCTGAAGAACAAGGTGGGGGAGCTGGAAGGAGAGAAGAGCCAATATGAGAGGAAACTCCGAGCCACCAAGGTACTCGGCGGCAATGTGCTCCTCTTGTTGTTCAGGAACAGCTGCAGATCAGAAGCAGAGAGCGGCTTTGTGTTTGTGAAAACAGCTGCAGGGATTTAGAGTCGGATGATTATCAGATCAGGCTGAAGCTGGCTGTAATGTGGTTCTTTCATTCTTAAACCCAGAACTCCTGCAGGTCTTAAAAAAGTCCGGATTTTCTTTGAGTTTTCCAGCTTTGAATAAGAATTTTTGAAAAATACAGTTTTGGAAAAATGTTTTTAATTCCAGAACCAAAAAAAAACTCATTTGTTGGGGGAAAACTGCAGCAACAGAAGTTTTATTTATTTTTGACTTTAAATTGAAACAGAATAAACTTCTTGCTTCATTAAAGAGCAAGTCACCCCCTACCAGAGTCTTACTCCGCTCCCACTTCCTGTTTGAAAAATGCAACAAACGCTGTTGCCTAGCAGACCGAGAGGGCGGAGCCGCTAACAAATACACACACACAGACTCACAACGACATTGTGACATCACAATGTACCAGCTAACGTTCTAGAGTACCTCTTAAGCTTGGTTTATGCTTGACGCATTCACTTTCCGCTTGGTGCTGCGGCTCGCGGACGGAACGCGCTTCACAACTCGCAGCGTTTATGGTTCATGCGGCTCGTCTCTGCGGTGAGCCAATATTCTCCCAGACTGTAGGGGGCAGCATGGAGCTCTACGGCATGCATCCAACACTACACCATAGAAGAAGTAGAAATTACTGTTTACAACACGGCATTCCAGCAGTTTTAACAGCATCCTCGTCTTTTCCGACAGAGCGAGCTATTTCTCTCCAAGAATTATTAACAACATGTTGATCACGGTGATCTCTGAGAGCTGAATCATACAAATGTCTGTATTTACGAACCTCTGCCGTACTAGTTCTTGCCGGTCCGCCATGTTTTTCCGCGTCCGTCCGTCCGCGTGGTTAGAAATTTTTGGAGGTGCGCGTTGCGGAAATCTTGGGCCGTGCGGAGGCGCGGTGGAGGGGCGTGGTTGTTAAAATGACGCAAAATGACGCAACTTTTCCGTGCGGACCTCCCGGACGCGTCAAGCATAAACCAACCTTTAGCCAATAGCGATGGCAGATTTAAATTCAAATGCAGTGCAGAGTTTTTACCCGACAACGGCACAACACAGGCAGTTTTAGGCAGAAAATTTAAATTTGAACTAAAATGCACTAAAGTGCAAAACTATTGACTACACGTGTCTGCAGCACGATTAGACACTCGTTTATATAGTTTATCAGAAAAAAAATTTGATTTGGGGGTGACTTGCTCTTTTAAAGACTTAACTTCTCATCTAAATATAAGTTTTAACCTTTTTTTCACTAATCTACTAAATATTGACAAATTTAGGATTTCAGCAGCTTTTATTTAACTTAATGTTTAATTTAAAAGGGAAAATTTGGTTTTCGACCATTTTCTTTAACTTTTCTGCCCAAATTTGAGCAGTCTTGATTCCATTTAAAGAGAAAATAGTTGTTTTTTAAATAAATCATCTCCCTCCTGACACTTTGCTTCATTTAAAGGTCCAACTGCTGTTGCTTACAGTCCTCCCTTCCTCCTCTCTTCCTCCCTCCCTACTTCTTTATTAACTCCTCTCTGCGGCTTGCTCTCTCCACTTTTATTTTCCGCTTTTCTCCCCCTCCTCACCCGTCATTACCCTCTTCCTGTCGTCCTCTCTCTAGCTCTCCATCTCTTATTCTCTCCATGTGTGTTACCAGTCGCTCATGACCCAGCTGTCCAGCCTCAAGCTGACTGTGGAGCACACACAGCTGGAGAAGCAGCACTGGGAGGAGTGCTGGCGCGGTGCACAGGTGCCTCCTCTTCCTCCCGCTCCCCCCTCTTTGTTTTTTCTCTTGGGTCTTTTGTATTTTTATGACTGGGTCTGAGGTTTTTCTTTCTGTTTTTTTGCACTCCCTCCTAAATGCACTCACACTTCTCCATGCATATTTCCTAATGGCGTTCATTTGGGTTTTTTCAGTAATTTTCATGCATTTTAGTTATTTTTGTTCTGTTTAAAACCATAAATATTCAGTAGACTTAAACTGGTCTGCAAAATAAATGTTTGCAGTGAATGCAAGTTTGCATGGACAGCTTACCTGCATATGATCCTAATGTGTGTGCATCAGCTGTTTGTGTGTTTACGTCCTTATTTGTTTACATAAAATTATTACCTGCACAGATGAGGTAACTGTAGCGTCATTAGTGCCATATTGACTTTAAAATGATTTCCAGTTGATAGTTTTCACCTTTTTTTACTCATTTTTTAGCTGAAAGCAGTCAGATGAATCTGCAGACTTTGATTAATTTCATGTTTTGAATAAAAACAGCTGCATTTACTGCAAGCTGCACGGGTTTGTGCCAACACCTCTCTGTTGTCACTTGTTGTCTGCAGCTGCTTCGTCACACTGAGTTGTAAATGCACTTTATTTACTTTTTCATCTTTTATTCTTAACTGAACGTTTGCTGACATTTTAATGCTTCTTAAGATGAAACCTGTGCTACTTAATGCCTTTTTGCAGTGTATAAATATCGAGAAAATGACTGTAAAACCAAGGAGATCTGTTGTTGTCGTGAGTTCAGCGGCTCACGAAGGAGTAATTGTGCTGTTAATCAGCTCATCAGTTCGTTAGAGACTCGTCCTCACCCCGTTTCCCTAAACTCATGTTTGTGTTTGACATTCGGTGATCTGGAAGCCCCACAGTTCAGTCATCCACTTTTGTCTTCATCTACAGGCAGAAATGTCTGAGCTGCAGCAGATTTTGGCCTCCAAAGATGCTGAGATTGAGTGCCTGCAGACCCAGCTGCTGGCCAGAGGCGGCAGCGCCAACAACGCGGCAGAGAGAGGTACGCACGGCTGACAGTGTGACTGATCGCAGCAGATCCACGTTTGTCAGTGCAGATGTGTGTGAGACAGCCAGCGATGCGCGTGTCTGTCAGCTCAGATTACTGCAACATATAACCAACCTGTCCCTCTCTCCTCTGATGTGAACTGTCTGACTCTCTGCTGCCCTCTGCTGTAGAGGAGGTGTATATCAAGCATCTGATTAACAAATGTAAGGCATGGCTGATCTCAGGGGTCCAGTGTCAAACTAAACCTTTGTTTATGCTCAACGCTCCACTTATCTTGGTGAAACAAAGTCTAACAAATGAAATAAAAGGAAAATCCATTTAATGGTTTATTGGTTTGATTTGAGACTGGACCCGAAAAATTATTGGCTCTGTGAACGAAGCTCTGCATCCTTTTAAATGAACGTATCTTAAAGAATGTGCCTTGTAGTTGCTTTAAAATGTAGTTTTATGTTACAAATCGGGATTTTTTTTTATCCACAAGAGGAGCAAAAGCTTAAATATCCCGGCATTCCAAGAGAAGGGAAAATTAACACTCCCCTTCAGTCACTTTATCTGACCTGCCACCATCCTGGTGTTTTTTGATTTATCCCAGAACCAGATTTAATGGATTTTTTAATATGATCATGAAAAATATATTTGCAAATGGAAAATCTGTTCTTGCTTGCATATTGAGTCACAGATTAAAAAATAAATCAATCCAGAATTAGAATTTCTGACTAAGTTTAAACTGATAATTCTGAATATTGGCTGATTTTGATCAACTAACCAGATTTTTGGTGCATTTTTAGTCACAATTAATAAAAAGCTGTCCAAATTATTAAAACTCTTAGAGCGAGGCAGATTAGAGTAGAGCTGGGGATCTTTTAGGGGGACATATTATGCACAACCCACCTCTTGCATCCCTTTGTGCTGCCATGTGGGTCTCTACTGCCTCCATAAACACTCCAAATGTGCACCTGTCCTCCGTCAGTGTTTGCTTTTAGGAATAGTTTGCTTAAAACGAGCTGTATCAAAAACTATCTGTTTGTGATGTCACAAACAGGAGAATTTTAATAGAACCACCTCTCACATGTAAGACTTCTCTAAGCCCCTTCCAGATATCTGAGCTTCTCAGCTTGAGTGGGGGATAGGTGGGTGCAGCCAGCTCTAGCATGTTTTCTAAAAGTGACAGAGCCCTGAAACGGCTCATTCTGGAAGGTTTTGAAAAAATATTAAGAGCAAAGTTGATAAGATTGCTTCAAGTGAGAGGGATTTGGTGCAAAGTACCATTGGCCATACAACTATTACAACTTAAGATAAAAGTCATAGCATGTCCCCTTTGTGTATCGAACAATAAAAAAAATAACACCTTATGGTTAAAATGTTACCCGTACTATTTCTTTGTTCATTTTTAAAATTATCCTTTTGGTTTGACTTTAAAGAACAGTGGCTAGGCCTTTGTAAACGACTTTCTTTAAGATTTGTTCCGTATTTAAAGAGCAAGTCACCCCCAAATAAACTTCTTTTTTGCTGATAAACTAAATAAACGAGTGTCTAATCGTGCTGCAGACACGTGTCGTCAATAATTTGGCACTTCAGTGCATCTTAGTTAAAATTTAAATATTCTGCCTAAAACTGGCAGTGTTGTGCCGTTGTCAGGTAAAAACTCTGCACTGTATTTTAATTTAAATCTGCCACCGCTATTGGCTAAGAGGTATGCTGTGATGTAATCTGGTACATTATGATGTCACAATGCTGTCGTGAGCCTGTGTGTGTGTGTATTTGTTAGCAGCTCCGCCCTCTCGGTCTGCCAGGCAACGGCATTTGTTGCATTTTTCTAACATGAAGTGGGAGTGGAGTTAGAATCTGGTAGGGGGTGACTTGCTCTTTAAAAAGATGTCAGTCGGCACTCTGGTTGCTGTGTTGTTTTTGTTTTTGATCCAGACGTTGTTCGTTTTTTTACCTTCAGCTGACGGTGGACCAGCACGTGTGCGCCGTCATTGTGCATTTGTTTCGTTTGTTTATTCACATCAGCATGGCTGTCATGTCTGTCGCCAGCATCCCTCCAGGTGTCAGTCAGGAGGTAATGAGCGTGAACGTTTTCTTTTTTCACTCTGTCAGACCAGGAATACCAGAGACTGAAGGTGGGGATGGAGTCTCTGTTGGCCTCAAACGATGAAAAGGTAAATAAGTCACCTTCCTATGCTGGTGCTGTTCTGCTCCTGTGGCTGATTTTCTAAAGCTGTGAGGTTTGTGACCACAGGATCGCCGAATAGAGGAGCTGACCATTCTGCTCAGTCAGCATAGAAAAATGAGGGAAGTGATGGCTCTCACACAGGGTGAGACTCGCATCCGTTTCCTGTTGCACAAGTTGTCAGCTCTAAACGATGCTCTGTGAATATTCACTCCATTAATGATGTCTGTTTCTAACCATCAGGGAGCAGCGAAGAGGAGCTGAGCGGCAGTCTGAAGCTGAGGGCGATCACACACAAAGCACACTCGGATATCATCAGATCTGAGGTAAGACGTTTCATCCAACTTAGAAAGAAAAGTAGACAAATCTGAGGAGCTGGTTGAGTCCTTAAATTCACTTTTTAATGTCCCTCTACAGATGTCCTCCAGAGGATCGTCTCCACTCATGCTGTCTTCGTCCCCTTTTCAGGGAGAACTGGAATCCTGGTAAAGATGCCTGCGACACTAAATCAGCGAAGGATCGAAACCAAGCCGGTTCTTTAATCCAGGTGTTGATTTGTAGTTTCCAGAACTCTGTGGACGCGTCGCTGTTGACCACCGGGGACATGAGTTTCTTGAACGGCTCGCTGTGAGTACTTTAGTAGAAACTAAAGAGAACACAGAATTTGGTGGTTTAAGATGTTCTGGGTTTGTTTTCTAGACACCGGCACAGGTTACTGTCCAGCAGCCTGGAAGAGCTGCAGAGTGGATCTCTACAGAAGGTCTAATAAACTCCTAACTTCTAAAAAACTCGGTGGTTTTAAGATCCATGCTTGATGACTAACTCGGCTCCTTCTGTCTTATTACTAACCTGCTTATTCTGTATGTTTGCATGTTGCTTCTTCTTCTTCTCTCATGTTTGTTTTTGGCTTCAGGCTGGAGAGATCCAGCAGGTTGAAACTGAATCAGATACAGGGATTGAGGTACTAACCCCCACCCCCACCCCCAGCTGATGCATTTTTACTAAACACATTTAAACTAGAGTTCAGCTGCTTATTAACCACGCTGACTTGTATATCTCAAAAAAAGCTCTAAAATAAAAAATACACAATATTTTTTATTCCATTTAAAGACTCAAAATACCAACATAGCTCATAAAAATACACAATAATACTTTTGTTGTTATTTAACTGTTTGATGTGCAGGACTGCCCATTGGTGGAGCATATTTTAGTCCCTATTTCTTATTCAGAACTACAAAATAACTAAACTAAAATATTAAAAGAAATCTGGAAATATGTGATTAAAATGTATCCTAACTGCATTATTATCGTAAAATAATTTACATATAGCTTTATTATATGATAACCCTCATGGCTCCAAATGAATAAATAATTTGTTTTTGTTCTCTTGGTGTTTTCTTCATCTATTTGGTTTTTTAATATGGAATACACATTTTACTAGTTATTTCCTTAAAGAGCAAGTCACCCCCAAACCAACTTTATTTTTTCTGATAAACTATATAAATGTGTGTCTAATCGTGCTGCAGACACGTGTAGTCAGTAGTTTTGCACTTTAGTGCATTTTAGTAAAAATTTAAATGTTCTGCCTAAAACTGTCAGTGTTGTGCCGTTGTCAGGTAAAAACTCTGCATTTGAATTTAAATCTGCCATCGCTATTGGCTAAGAGGTACCCTGGAACGTTAGCTGGTACCATATGATGTCACAATGTCGTTGTGAGCCTGTGAGTGTGTGTATTTGTTAGCGGCTCCGTCCTCTCGGCAACAGCATTTGTTGCATATTTCAAACAGGAAGTGGGAGTTGAGTAAGGCTCTGGTAGGGGGTGACTTGCTCTTTAAGAAATACCTTTTTTTTTAATGTTCTTTTATTTTCACTTTTTCCGAGTTTTTAACCCAGGCTAGTGATGGTCCACAGAAATGACTAAATACAAACTGTGGTCAAAATGTTCCTTTATATTAGCATTTTTCTTTGAGTTATTAAAAAAAATAAGCAGAAAAATGATTACAAACGTAAAAGAAGTCTCATGTCCTGGAAACAAAACTTTAAATTTAGGATTTTAACGTATTTGGGTGAGCTCTCTGGTGAGGGTGAACAGGTCTGGTCCAAAACCTAAACTTTTCATCACACTGGATGAAAAACCCTTACAGCAGTGGCTTTCGTCACTTCTGCTCTTTCTGCCATGTTCCATTGAAAAGTCATTCATAAAACCTCTGACGGCAGAAAAGTGATGCAAGGCTTTTTTTGTTTTTTTATTTGATGAACAGCTCAAGAGTTAAATGAAGCAACACCGAAGGAAATAAACTAGTGTATAGCACAAATATTAACAAATAACACTATTATTTATTAAAACTCAAACAAATGAGCTACAGGTTCAGGTAGAGTCAGTCGTCCTCCGTCTCTAGGGTTTTATTTGTGATGTAACACCCCAGCTGCACTGTGGCCCCCTCTGTTCAAATGACCTGTTGTCAAACGCTCACATTTATATAAAAGAAGCACACTCTCCTTGTGGATCACAGCCAGCCGGACGTGTATTAATCTCAAAGACAGATCCGGGGCTGTGACCCACCTGAAGTAGCTGTCGGTAGTCCTCGGCATCAATTCTGCCCCCCGGCTGTTTCGCTCCGCTGGCCTTTCTCCCATTTTCCTTCAGATCCCGGCCGACTTTAATGCCTGGTCAGATTTCTGCATCGTCAGACGTTCACCCTCCAAAGGACATCCTGTTATGCAACAGAGCGATGCACATCAGTCCCACCTCACTTATCTTTGTGCAACGAGAGATTCAGAACACGCTTTTACAATTTAGGTTTTATTACTTCTGAGAGTTTGCTTGTTTGGGATTAATCTGCTGTATTTTTTATTTTTGATGCCTTTCAGAGTCCCCAACTAGAGCTGAGCAAGTACCAAACTCTGCCGGGGAAGCTGAGTAAAAAGAGCAAAGCGAAGGACGAGCTGAACGGCAGCAGAGGGACAAATGCTGAGTATTTGTCTCCTGTCCACTTCTCGCCTTGCCACAACGAAGACTACAGTCTGAGTGAGTTCAGCTGAAGATGAGCTAGGTCAACAGAGTCCGACTCCCCGCTGACATTTCCTTGTAGCAGAGGAATCTCACCACAGAAACATGCATCAACTTCCTACAGTGATCCCTCATTTATCGCGGTAGATGCGTTCCAGACCTGCCCGCGATAGGTGAAAATCCACGAAGTAGGGACACCATATTTACAGTACAGTACTATATTGAATTATCGCATGATCACATTCTCTTTTTGTGGGTAAAACTCAAGAAAAAAAATTTTTTTTACTTGGTTTTTTTATAGTTTTATTACAAAAAGTGCATTTTATGATGAAATTGATGAAAAAACACAGGAATTTCTTGATATTTCACATAGAAAAATACCGCAAATCGGTGAAAAATACCGCAAATCGGCGAATTTCCCTTGAATAAGGCTCCAAAGAAAAAATCTGCGAAGTCGTGAATCCGCGATAAACGAACCGCGAAGTAGCGAGGGATCACTGTACAGCATGAGTTTAAAGAAGCATTTATTAACCTGGAAACATATTTTCTTGTCAAAAATTAGGTAAAAACTAATTGCACATATTTTTGTATTGATAGCAGGAAATCTGTAAGAAAATCCCTCCACTTTATCTCTAAAGAGACGCTTCTTTTAAATCTGTTTGTTATGGCAACACACATTAATTTCCAGGAGTCTGGTCATCACTGAAATAATTTAAATGAAAGATTTAATCTCATAACACCACATTTTTCACATTCAAGTAGTCCATTTTCTTTGATTTACAGTCTCTACCTCTTCAGCAGGACTAGTACATTCCCCTAAAACTCTAACATTTACACCCTTTGGTGGAGACTCTTAAGTACTGCAGGTGTATTGTTATGCATTTACACAAACAATTAATTATTTTATAGGCTAATTGGATTTTTACATTGTATTTTAAATAGTTGCTGACTAATTATATTATTGGGTTTTCAAACATTATTTAAAAGTAAAGTTTTTGTTGAATAATGTTGCAAACATTTTCATAGAAATTAATTTTCCACCCGTTTAAATTCAAATAGTTCCACACGTTTGTTTTTGACAACCAGATTTTTTAATTAAAGCTGAAGGAATAAATAATTCAATTCAATTCAAAAATACTTTATTAATCCCAGAGGGAAATTGCTTAAATTGGGATTTGTGGCTTCAGTTGAGGTATTATTTCAGCCTTTCCAATGTTAATCAGCTGCTCCCGATTGTAAACCAGCTAATGTTGCCATGGTTACGCATCATAACAAATGCTCAAAAAGTGAAAAGAGGGAAAAACTAGCAGTAAAAATCCTCCAAGCTTCACAGCATCAGAAACAGAAAAGTAAAATGTCCAAAAAAAATACAATTTTTCTTGAGAATCTAGAAAAAAAATGTCCAAAAGAAAGGCTAAACTCACATATAGTCAACAGAGTTACTCCAACATGCAGCCACCCAGAGCAGCGCAGTTCCGGTAAATAAACCCTTTTATAAAAATTATTTTTAATAACAATTTAATGTTGTAATAACTAACCTGATCCCAGTACACCAGCTGGATTCCAGCTGATGGGACGAGGAGGGAATAATCTGACTTGGTACAAAAATATTCCCAAAACACATTCCTGGAGTTGAATCGTGTCGGATTATTGAATGTGGAAATGTTTTGGAGAAGCCAGCTGAGTTTTGGTCAGCGTGATGTTTATGCTTGATATTCTGATAAATCCCACATTTAGGATTAGAAATGGCAACTTTATGTGAACAAGTTGTAACAAAAAAACAAACAAATGTATTTTAAAGAGCAAGTCACCCCCTACCAGATTCTTACTCAACTCCCACTTCCTGTTTGAAAAATGCAACAAATGCTGTTGCCTAGCAGACCTAGAGGGCGGAGCCGCTAACAAATACACACACAGGCTCACAAGGACATTGTGACATCATATGGTACCAGCTAACGTTCTAGGGTACCTCTTAGCCAATAGCGGTGGCAGATTTAAATTCAAACGAAGTGCAGAGTTTTTACCTGACAACGGCACAACACTGACACTTTTAGGCAGAAAATTAAAATTTTAACTAAAATGCACTAAAGTGCAAAACTATTGACTACACGTGTCTGCAGCACGATTAGACACACATTTATATAGTTTATCAGGAAAAAATAGTTGATTTGGGGGTGACTTGCTCTTTAAATGCTCACCAACTCTGACAACTAACTTCTCACTAACTGCTCCCTCTCCTTTTTCTCCTCCTTTTTTGCTTTTTCGTCTTATATTTTTTATTTCCCTGTCTGTGTTCTGACTGCAGTTCGCTGCAGGAGTGCCAGCGCTCCAGTTTTAGGTACGGTATGCTTTTCCAGACACGTCAACGCTCATGTGGAAGTAGGCAGTCTGCAGCGTTCCTGCTCCGGAGTCACACAGATGTGCAGAAACATCCTTAAAACTCCCGAAGGAAACAGGATTACTTTACTAGCTGTCGGATCAGGCGGCTCTTGTTAGGTTTGGGATTAACGGGAACTCCTCTTGACTGCCCGGCTTTAGCGTTTGTTAAATTTAAAACCATTTGCACAAAACCACTTGTTTTAGGAGCTTCGAGGGCGGAGTCCCAAAGTAAACAAACCCGACGTTTCCTGACCTCCATGTTCACCCTCACAGTTCAGATCCAGATGTTTGTGAAGCAAATGAAGACAGTTGTAGCTGATCAGGGATTTTAGGGATTTAAAACGTTGAGCTTGACATAAAAACAGCATTCTCTCTGAAGGTGCAGTAGGATTTACTAACTCAGGCCTTCGCTTCTCTTCCCGTCTCCTTACATAACTAACCACCTCTGACTCAGGATCTCCAGGGAAACATGACCTCTATGATGTTGGTGGGTATTGCTGTCAGGAGAAACTCCAAAGCATCGTCTTGTGTGGAGTTAAAATTCATTTGACTGTTTTAATGTAAAATCTGAAACGTCTGATTGTCAGGCTGATTGTTTGCAGTGGTTTTGTGTCTCTGCAGCATTTTTATCAATTTTTCGGCTCTTTGTGATGTTTTCCATCTCTTAAGCATTTCTCTTGTTTTCCATCAAGCAGCCATGTTTTTCTGTTTTACCGTGACTGCTGGCTTGCTTTGTGTCTTTGACGATTTTTGGTTACGTCTTGTTGGTTTTCTCACATTTATTTAAAATTAATTTCATTTTTGGTGTTTTATCAAGTCAACAAGCATTTGGATCTTTAACGGGAAAAGTTGCTGCTCTGATTCTTTTTCTGTTTCTTTGCCTCTGACAGACAATCTGGAGAAACCAGACGAGTGCATCTTGTCTGATCAGTCCCCGCTGTCCTCTGGGGTGGACTCTGGACAGCAGTCTCCTGTCTCACCTGAGAAAAGGAAGGGCCAGAGAGGCATTAGGAAACTTTGGGGGAGGTAGATGTTGAAGTTGACTGGTTCAGGTTGTCTTCTAAATTGTTTGCAGTTTCCAGATCTATTATTTCTGTTTCTAGGATTCGTCGCAGTCAGTCGGGGAGTCCTGTCCAGGCTCATGACCCAGAGCTGGGAGACTTTAGGAGGGGAGGCTACAGAGCTACAGCTGGACCACGACTGGCCCGTTCTGGGAAAACACGGTACACCTTTATCTGAAGCATGGGCGGGCAGGAACAACAACAAAATATTGAACATTGTTTTTATTTTTGTTTTGTCAGAGATCTAAAGTTGCCGTTCTCCAAGTGGAGCACGGAGCAGGTTTGCGACTGGCTGGAGGACATCGGACTCGGGCAGTACGGCTTCCTCGCTCGCCACTGGGTCAGCAGCGGTCAGACGATGCTGTCAGCCACCCAGCATGACATAGAGAAGGTACACACACACACACACACACACACACACACACACACACACACACACACACACACACACACACACACACACACTGCTCACTCAGACATCCATCACTACCTCCTGTCTAATCGTCGTCTCCCTCCGTCCATCTCTCGGCGTTTAGTAATGCTCGTCTACTCCGGTTCTCCACCACAGCTCTAGATGATTCACCCTGACTGCAGTTTGCCTTCTCAGGTGCAACTTTAGCATTTTGTTATTCCGCCTGCAGGAGATGTCCATGAAGAATCCACTCCACAGGAAGAAGCTGCAGCTCGCCATGAAGACAGCCACCAGCAAACAGCCTGAGAAGTCAGCAGAGCTGGACTACGTCTGGGTCACCCGTACGAATCCACACACAAAACAGTCATCTGACCTCTGGAGATGCTTTAGCTTTGGTTTCTGCGGCAGGTTGGCTCGACGACATCGGCCTTCCTCAGTACAAAGACCAGTTCAATGATGGAAGGGTGGACGGACACGTGCTGAAGTACCTCACTGTGGTGAGTTCGTTAGCGAGTTGGCCAGTGATGAGCATTAGCTTCACTCGGATGAAATGATGCGCTAAAGGCAAGACGAGGTGAGGCAGCTTTATTTGTGTATCACGATTAGCGAGAATAGCACTAACATTAAAAGTTAATGTCCCATTAGTCATCTTCACATGCCGGTGAAATCACATTAGGATCAAGGGTTCTTCATCGTCATTTACGTCACACGTTCACATGGAGTGGAACGTAATTACGAGCACACGGTCCCGGAACGAAGAACCGCATTTGACCCATCCTCGTGGGGAGCGGTGAGCTGCAGCTGCGGCTGCGCTCGGGAACTGTTTGGTAGTTTAACCCCAATCCAACCTATTAAAGGTCAGGGTCACACGGGGAGGCACTCAGTCCCGTTTTTAAGGTCTTTGGTGTGACTCGACCGGGATTAGAACCCCGATCTCCCAGGGCGGACCCTTCCACTAGACCACTGAGGAAATTTAACATAACGGCACAATAAAAATAACACAAATACATTTAGATGAAATGAAATACATGAGCTGATTTCAGATTTAAGAACCAGAAAACAGACAAAGGTAAAGGGTGAGCAGTCGTTCAAAGGCTGATGAAAACATGAAGGTTTTCTAGAGTTGGAGCACATCTGAGGTCACGAGGAAGCTGATTCCATCTAAAAGCAGCTTCACCCTGTCTGGTTCTGACCCGGTTCTACCAGCTGACCTGTTCCTGGGTGTAGATACAGGAAGGAGATCTGACATGTGCTCTGGCCTCATGCCACTGAGTGATTTATAAACTAGTAGAAGCACTTTGAACTGAATTCTGAAGTTTACGGGTAACCAGTGTAGAGATTAAAGAACAGGAGTGATGTGTTCGCTTCTCTAGGGTCTTGTTACGACTCTGGCTGTAGCGAGCCACTGATTTCCCTCTTTCCTCTTCATTTTCTCTCCCCCATTCCCTCCTTTAATCACAGTTTGAATGGTTTTCTCAATTCAAACATATTTACTTTTTATTTTTAAATCTTTTTTATACTTAAATATTTTTGTTTATGTGAAACGCCTTTTTTATCTTCAGAGGCACTATACAGAAGAAAATTATTTATCTTTCTTTCTCTCTTTCTCTCTCTTTCTTTCTCTTTCTCTCTTTCTTTCTTTCTCTTTCTCTCTTTCTTTCTTTCTCTCTTTCTTTCTTTCTCTCTTTCTTTCTCTTTCTCTCTCTCTTTCTTTCTTTCTTTCTCTCTTTCTCTCTCTTTCTTTCTTTCTTTCTTTCTCTTTCTTTCTTTCTCTCTCTTTCTTTCTTTCTTTCTTTCTCTTTCTTTCTTTCTTTCTCTCTCTCTCTTTCTTTCTCTTTCTCTTTCTCTTTCTCTCTGTTTCTTTGTTTCTCTCTCTCTCTCTCTCTCTCTTTCTTTCTTTCTTTCTTTCTTTCTCTTTCTTTCTTTCTTTCTTTCTTTCTCTCTCTCTCTCTTTCTTTCTTTCTCTTTCTTTCTTTCTTTCTTTCTTTCTTTCTCTCTCTCTCTTTCTTTCTCTCTCTCTCTCTTTCTTTCTCTTTCTTTCTTTCTTTCTTTCTCTTTCTCTGTTTCTTTGTTTTTCTCTCTCTCTTTCTTTCTCTTTCTTTCTCTTTCTTTCTTTCTTTCTTTCTTTCTCTCTCTTTCTTTCTTTCTCTCTCTCTCTTTCTTTCTTTCTCTTTCTCTGTTTCTTTGTTTTTCTCTCTCTCTTTCTTTCTCTGTTTCTTTCTTTCTCTCTCTTTCTTTCTTTCTTTCTCTCTCTTTCTCTGTTTCTTTGTTTTTCTCTCTCTCTTTCTTTTTTCTCTTTTCTTATTTTTTTTCTATCCAAACAAAAGACCATTGCAATAGTCCAGCCTGCTGGAGATGAACGCATCAATGAGTTTCGTTAGGTCTGGACATGAGAGCTCGGAGTCGTGCTATTTGATGAAGATGATGAAACACTGATCTAGTTATAGTTTTAATGGGACCGGGGATGCTCAGGTCTGAATCGGTCGGTGTTTTTATTCCTCTGGAGCCAAACTGAGCAATAACCTCCATCCTATCTTTCTTTCTAAAAAGATTTTTCTTTCTTTGCACTCGTCTTCTTTATTTCTACCCCAGAATGACTTGTTGTTCCTCAAAGTGACCAGCCAGCTGCACCACCTGAGCATCAAGTGTGCCATTCGCGTTCTCCACGTCAACCAGTTCAACCCGAACTGCCTCAAACGCAGACCCAGCAACGAGGTAAAATTTCCCTCCAAGTGCAAGAAGTCCAAATCTTACAGAGAAATCATCACAAAACAGTTGAATGCCGTATTCATGTTGGAAGGAAGGTTTTCTTCTCAGCCGGCTGCGTGGGTGCCTGCTGAGAGCGAACTTGTTTTGAAACATGGGCTGCAGTACCCACATTTGACCACAAGGTGTCATTCTTACTTTGCATAACTTTGACACCTAAAATTTCCTAAATCACGCAGAGGTGTTTGCATTTTTTCAGAAGATGATTAAAGTTAGTTTTATGTGTTTATTTGAATGAACTGTGTTTCAGAACCAGTTCAGTCCCAGTGAGGTCATGCAGTGGTCCAACCACAGAGTCATGGAGTGGCTGAGGTCTGTGGACCTGGCCGAGTACGCTCCCAACCTGAGGGGCAGCGGTGTGCACGGCGGGCTGATAGTCAGTACACAGAATAACAGTAAATTATATAAAAAACTCTAGTTCCATAAAAATCCTCTTACATGATTTATTCTCTCATAGATGCTGGAGCCTCGGTTTAACTCTGACACATTGGCCATGTTGCTGAACATCTCTCCACAAAAAACACTACTAAGGCGCCACTTAAACACCAATTTCAGCAACCTGGTGGGTGCGCAGGCTCAGCAGGAGAAGAGGGAGTACACCGAGGCAGCAGGATACGCCCCGCTCAGCGTCACTGCTAAAGTCAAGGTATGAAAACACCAGAACACACATTCAGGATCAGAGAAGGCTCGTATTTAACACAGCCTCTCTTTGTGTGCAAGAGAGCGCACCTTTAATCTGGTGGTGAGACCTGGATGCGTCGGCTTGCTCTAATCTCTCAGCCCTGCTCTGCGTTTAATCCTGAGAGCGGCCTCAGCTTTAAGTCCTCGCTGGAGAAATCCAGTAGAATAGTCTCGATAAGGAGAAAAAAAACACTCATGAACCACGTTTGCCCTCAGAGGAAATAAAAGCAGCAAACAACCAGGCTAAATCACATAGAATAGATGTTTAGTGAAAATGTTTGGTTTTTCTTTCGTAGGGGGATGAGCAGGGGTGGGAATCTTCAGGAACATCGCGATTCGATTACGATTCAGGGAGCTCCGATTATTGATGCATCTTTCTCCTCCCTCACCTGGCTGCCAAGTGATTACGTGAAAAACATGATGAAACATTCAGCCCTAACTTGGTTTAGGTCTTATTTGTCTAACAGGTCCCAACGGGTGGTGTTGAACAACATCTCATCTCGCTCTGCTCCTCTCTCGTGTGGGGTCCCGCAGGGATCTATTCTGGGGCCTTTGTTGTTTTGTCTTTACCTCCTTCCCCTCAGCTCAATCCTAAAAAAAACACTGTTCAGTATCACTTATATGCTGACGACTGTCAGATTTACATGTATGTGAAACCCCAGCAATCCATCTAGCCTCTTCTAGACTGCCTACGTGACGTGAAATGTTGGCTGGCCACAAATTTTCTGCATCTCAATGATTCCAAGACTGAACTGATCCTGTTTAATCCGGTCAGATCTAGCTCATTCCAAATCCCAGATCTTTCATCTATTTCTCAAAATCTAAAAACCGTTGTGACAAACCTGGGTGTGAAGATGGATTCATCTCTAAGGATGGACGCCCAGGTCAATGCCACTGTAAAATCTTGTTTTTTCCAACTCCGCCATCTGTCCACATTAAGAGCTGTTTTATCTAGAAAAACTTTGGAATCAGTTGTTCATGCCTTCATCACATCTAGGCTCGACTACTCAAATGCAGTTTTGCTGGGTGTCAATAAGTCAACCCTTGTTCGACTTCAACTCGTTCAAAACACAGCTGCTAGATTCCTAACGCGTACTCACAGGCGCCAGCATATAACACCAGCTCTCAAATCTCTTCATTGGTTGCCCATCACTTTCAGGGTCCGATATAAAATGCTAATTTTTGTTTTCAAATCCCTCCACGGTCTTGCCCCTGTGTACTTATCTGACCTTCTTTCAATTTATACTCCCGGTCGCACACTCAGGTCCTCCAGCCTGATGCTCCTCGAGGTCCCGAAAGCGTGTTACAAATCATGCGGACAAAGAGCTTTCTCTGTCGCGGGTCCTAAACTGTGGAACGAACTTCCAGCCGCAGTTCGACTGGCATCCACCGTGGCAGATTTTAAGTCTAGACTAGAGACCCACTATTTTACCCTTGCTTTTAACAGTTAGCTGTTAGTTTGGCTTTTACTACTCTTATTTTATCGTCCATTGTAAGGTTTTTATTGGTACTTTTTTATCGGCTTGTCTTTTTTTTTTTATTGTTGGCTGTATTTTATAGTACTGTTTTATGTTTTTTATCTCTATTATTGTGCGATTGTTCAGCACTTTGGTCAGCCGTATGGCTGTGTTTTTAAAGTGCTATATAAATAAAGGTGGTATGGTATGGTATTTACTTCCAATAACTTTTATGAACGTAAGTGTCAGTGCAATGTTTTAAAGAAAAGAAGTGCTGTCATTAACAGCTTCCAAACAAAAATAATGCTGGATGTGCAATTCATTTGAACATGAATAACTGTTCTTTTTCTGAATGTAAATACGATTAGACAACAACATGTTGAGTATAAACACCCTCGACAAGAACTTAAATTAAATGTATAAATAAATGCATAAAACAGGGAAAAAATTGCGTACGGATGCAAAGCTTTCGTGATAAAACTTGCTATTGTAATTCTGTTTGCCTTTTCCGACTTTGGTGGAAATTTTAACAACACTTGCTCCACAGTTCTCTGGTTGGTGGCGGCAGCCGCAGCTACCGGCGTGTTTTTCTCCTCCTCCGGGTGAAAACGATCAACGTGGTTTCCAGTGTTGGGAGTTAAGCGGTACAAAAGTAATTAATTACTGTAATGCATTGCTTTTTGCTGTAATGTGGTAATGTAAGGCATTACAGGGAAAGAAAATGGTCATATTTACTCGGTACAGTTGTCAGTAACGCGGTAATTACAACACATTTTTAAACCCAGAATCAAGATGTGGGTTTCCTAAAAATTCTAATTGCGGGAAGCCTGAAAAAAGATCCAGTATCCACATGTATGACGTCATTCATGACCTCCAATTCAATTCAATTCAAGTTTATTTATAAAGCGCCAAATCATGACAAGAGTCGTCTCAAGGCACTTCACATAATAAACATTCCAATTCAGGTCAGTTCATTAAGCCAATCAGAAAAAATGTTTCCTATATAAGGAACCCAGCAAATTGCATCAAGTCACTGACTAGTGTCAGTGTATTTACAGCAATCCTCATACTAAGCAAGCATGCAGCGACAGTGGAGAGGAAAACTCCCTTTTAACAGGAAGAAACCTCCAGAGAATCCTGGCTCAGTATAAGCAGCCATCCTCCACGACTCACTGGGGATCGAGAAGACAGAGCAGACACACACACACACACACACACACACGCACACACGCACGCACGCACGCACACACACACACACACACACACCAAGCAATGTGTCCATGGTTACACCGTGATTGCTTAGTAAATATTCTATTTGGCGAGAGATAAACTTTATTGTATTTATCCTAGTGGATCTATTGTTAAACGGGTAAACTAGTAGTAGCACATCCAACATCAAAGAAAGCAAAAATTATTATCAGGAGAGGGAGAATGTTTGAGTGGTTAGCAAACACACCCACATCACCCCGCTTCTCCTCCAGCTTCACTGGCTGCCAGTCAACTTCAGGGTTCACTTCTAGATCCTGGTTCTGGTCTATAGGGCCTTACATGGACAAGCACCATCTTACATTGGTGATCTTCTTAGTCCCTACACCCCCAGCAGGTCCCTGAGGTCCAGTGATCAAAGCCTACTGGTTGTGCAGCACCAGGCTAAAGGTCAAAGGTGACAGATCATCTGCTGCTGTGGCCCCCAGACTCTGGACCTCTCTCCCCCTGAGCCTGAGATCAGTGGACTCAGTGGTCTCCTTTAAAAAGCAGCTGAAGACTCACTTGTTCAGGCTGGCTTTTGTATGACCTTCTTCACCTCTCTCTCTTTATTCTGCTCTCCCCACCTATTCCACCTTCCTCAGGATCCACTGGTTTCCCTCTTTCCTGTTCACTCTCTTTCTTTCTTAACATTGTTTTAATCACAAAAGCCAAATTTTGCTCATTTTAAATATATTTTTAAACATTTTCTAAATGCTTTTTCATATTTTTACATTTTTGGTTTTTGTGAAGCGCCTCATGATTTTTATCTTGAGAGGCACTATAGAAATATACTTATACTGATACTTTCTTCTTCTTCTCCTTTTTTATTGTTATCGATACAGCCTTGCTTTGTCTAATCACTTTTTCCTCTCAGTGGCTGATTTAAGCCTAATCCTGGTTGGTAGAGGGAAATTTATTCCGCACACACAGAACACTCACCTCTGTCCTCGGGTATCTTCCCAGAGACGCTTCTGTCAGAAACGGAAACCTGCAATGTTGGACGAAACGATCAAGCACTAAACACCGGTCACTGTTTCTATGTCCAAAAGTCTTTTTGTCCCAGACTTCAAACTGTGTTTTTCTTTTTGGGACCATTTGTCCTACAGCAGCAGGGGTAGCAGCCAGCTGTTTCTCCTTCTCTGGTATTCAGCGGAGAGCCTCTCACACCTGTGGTGTTCTGTTGCTAACGACGTGAGTGTGTGATGAGTGGAGGACCCAGGGAATCAGGCCTCAATGTCCTGGAGGTGTACAGGTCCTGCATGGAGGGGAGTTTGCAGCTAAGTGCTGCAGTTCGGTGAGACCGAACCAGATGGTCCAATAGTTGCTTTTGGTACAAAACGTGTTATTGACGGAGGGTTTTAGACAAATATGAAAGAATTGCTTTATTACTTTATTTTTTATCTCCATAAATTATAGCTTTATTGTGTTAGAATGTTGTTAATGTAACCGAGCCTTCCAGAAAGAGACGGGAGAAGATTTAGGATTGTGGTTGCTCAAGAAAAGGTTGATAACCGTGAACTCTCAGGGTCGCTTTATTTTAAATAACACCATTAACAACTCCGCTCCAACTTCTGTTGTTTTTCTCTCTTTTCAAACATCACATCCTGTGTCAGCAGCACCTTCAAAATAAAAGTCCCATAAAAGTGGGTTACATTAAGAGGCATGAAAAAATGTTTTCAGCTCATTTGTTTTCCAAACTTGCCATCGCAGCTTTAAATCATTCAGTATTTCAGTTGAAATGCACAAAGTGATGTTTTGAAGCTGAAATGTTTGATTAAAAACCTGTTTATAGGAGTGAGAAAGATTTATTTATTTATTTATTTTACTCCAGCCAAAGAAGTTGGGTTTCTCCAGCCTGACTCACCTCCGGAGGCGACGGCCGGACGATTCCACGGACTATGTCTGTCCCATCGGGTCCTCACCTGAGTCCGGGCTGCAGGCGCCAAACGGGGTACAGATGCGTCCGTTTGCGGGATTCAGAGGTCTGAGCCCTATTCTGGACCGGGAACCTGCCAGGGACCAGGTGGGGCTTGAGGAGAACAAAGGAGACGCATCACCATGACAACAAGGAGATGCTGCGTCAACGTCGTTAACAAGCTGCTGCTACTTTGCTTCCCTTGCTTGCAGCCCTTGGTACCCCGACCCCTCCTCACCTTGCTTATTTAAACCCCGCCCATCCCGTGCCTTAATCCCAGACACACCCAGATTACGCAGTCAGCTGTTCTGGGACGTTGTGACATTGACACACTTAAACGGTTCCAGTCAGATGCCTAACTAACCCACCCAACCTCAGACCTGTGCCACGAGCACCGCCTCTCTCTGGACTCGTGTTGCATCCTTTCCTGTTGTCCAGGAAGTAAACACGGGCAGTCCTCACTGTACACCACACCGAGTCACAAGTAGATATTTTATAAGTGTGAGTTAGCTGCTGCATGATTTACACCTTTAATTAAAGCAGGAGACAAGCTTATGCAATATTTGCATACACGTATGGAGGAATTTTATTTAATATTTATGACACCACAGAGTTCATGATAAAACGGCACGTTTTGTATGATGCTCCAGTTTTTTAAATCATTATTTTCATAATTGACTGTGATAGTATTTTTATAGCAAAGGAAACTAACATATCATGTAAATGTCAGATTTATAAAATCATTCAATAAACTAAATCATACGCGTGTCACGTTTCTTTGGTGTGCTCGTTATTTTCCGTTTCTGGAAACAAGAGACCGAATTGACACAAACCAGCAAAATAACTTTGTGCTGCTTTGTGAAGTCAGCATGTCTCCAACCACTAACCTGCTTCCTCCTCATCATCATGGCGGCCTGTTCTGACAACCTCGCTGCAGCATCCCTGTTAAAGCATGACTCTCAGGGTGCGGCTGCAAACACCCGTCAGAAAAGCATCCAGATAAGAACACACACACACACACATACACACACACACTGGGTATCTAGAGCAACATGTCTGTAATGAGGACTTGTTATGGATGTGTGTTGCAGATGGCGAATTCAGAACGCGCCGTTTCGGAAATAGAAGCGTTGTCTGAAAGCATCAACAACCTCACAGTAAGCTCCGACACACACAAGCTGCTGGGTAATGACTCGCACAGCTCGCCGCTTCTCGTCCGCAGTAACGGAAGTTTGAGCTGCAGACTAAAGATTCTGCTGATGAGCAGAAAAGCACAAAACTGAGTTTCATTTCACGCCGTCGTCTTGCAGCTGCGCTCCTTCTGCCGAGGTTTTGACAGCAGTGGATCCAAAAGGCTTTAAGTAACCAACATGCAGTCTTTGTGCTTAAAAACCGCCTAAAGCTGCAGCCCCGACGAAGCTCTGATTCTTTTTACAGTAAAACGGCACCGTGCAAAGATTTTAGACCACCCTTAATGTTTTTATTTCACTTGCAAGTTGCAGAACTTTCCTGTAATCTCCCAAAGTAGTTTTTATCTTCAGAATGAACAGATTTTCAGTTGAAAACATCCCTGAACACCACTATGTCGTTGCTTTAGAATAAGTAAGCAAAGTGGACATTTACAGCAAATGGACTGCATCTGAAAGTCATGCACTCAGGAAGAAAGACGAGAGGTGTCCAATCTCAGTTCTGCAGGGCCACCATCCTACAAAGGAGACTCCTCGCTTCAGCACACCTGATCGTAATCATCAGGTGACTAACGGGTTTCTGCAGGTGTTGTCGGACGAAGGCCCAGTGCCTCAAAGTGCTGAGGCTTGAGTTTATTATGAGGCTGGGAGAGGTCGTTTCTGAGTCGTGATCTGGTTGTTTGGCTAAGAGGGGGGTGTACTATGTTTCTGAGTTGGGGGTGTTTGGTTCCCTGTGTGGGGCGGTGGTGATAGCTGCTCGGTGTCTGGGGTTTGATGCACGTGGGTCCACTCTGCTGTTGATTACTTTCGACACGGTGGAGCTTCCTGCTTGTGTCAGGTTGGGCTCCCTTATGGGCCATTCCCATCTGTACCGGGTCGGCCCGGGCCGGGTAGCCCCAGTCGGCCCCAGCCTGGCCCGGTTGATTCCACACATCCTTGTCTTAAGCCCATGTGGGCTGATTCTACCCACCAATCAGAGGCTTGCTCTAATGGAAGGTGTGGATTTGCTGTCAGCAGTGGGTGTGTTGGCCCTGGTCGGCCTGAAGCAGACCCCCTCGAGAAGAGGGCTGAGAATGAGCCTTGGTTGGCCCGGAAAAGTACCAGGCCACCCAGATATGTAAACAACCTACGCTACCCGGCCCGGGCCGACCCGGTACAGATGGGAATGGCCCGTTAGTTACCCGGTCAGGGCATACAAGAGTCTCCTTTGAGGTGCTTTAGATGTCAGGGCTTTGGTCATGTGGCCGGTGCCTGTGTGGTGGGGGTGACCATGAGGGCAAGAGTTGTGATCTTTCGCTCCGCTGTCGCAACGGTGGTGGGCAGCATCAAGCGGCGTACAGGGGTTGTGTGGAGTGTAGGACGGCAGTGGAAGTGGGGAAGTTTCAGGCTGTCGTGTGGGGGTTCGGGGTGGTGGTGCATTAAGGCCTTGTACTGTGCCTCTGTCAACCAGAGGTGGGGATGAAGGGGCGGGTGTGGCGGTTGTGAGGGAGGAAGGTTTTGGACCGTGTGTAGCGTCTAACAAGTCCGATGTGGCTCACAAGAAGACTGCAGTTGTGGAGACCTTTTTGGGTTTTTGTGACGAGTCCCGGAGGAGGTGCTGTGGGTCGTGGAGGATGTTGTTGGGATGTTGTTGGGATGTGTGCACTGGGGTGTGTGTTGGTGGAGGCTTTTGTAGACGATGGCTGTGAGGGTGCACAGGGGCGGGTGGTTTGTGTGCTTGTTGAGTGCGGTGGGTAGTGGTGGCTGATGTGGCAACAATGTGCCTTTTAGGGACCCATCCTGCCTAATTTAAAGGTTACTGCAGAGCTCGATGAGGTGCTGAGAAGGTGATTCAACCACTGAACTGGAAGTGTTAGAGCAGAGAAACAAAACTGTAACACATTTTTAAAAGAATGTATTTATGCTCACATTCGTCGTCGTCGTCTTCCTCCTCTTATCAGGGTCACGGGGGCAGCATCCCAACTAGGGAGCTCCATACCGTCCTCTCCCCCTGGCCACCTCCACCAGCTCCTCCGGCAGGACCCCAAGGCGTTCCCGGACCAGATTGGAGATGTAACCTCTCCAACGTGTCCTGGGTCGACCCGGGGGCCTCCTGCCGGCAGGACATGCCCGAAACACCTCCCCAGGGAGGCGTCCAGGAGGCATCCTGACCAGATGCCCAAAGCACCTCAACTGGCTCCTTTAGATCCGGAGGAGCAGCGGTTCTACTCCGAGTCCCTCCCGAATGTCCGAGCTCCTCACCCTATCTCTAAGGCTGAGCCCGGCCACCCTACGGAGGAAACTCATTTCGGCCGCTTGTATCCGCGATCTCGTTCTTTCGGTCATTACCCAAAGCTCATGACCATAGGTGAGGATTGGGACGTAGATCGACCGGTAAATCGAGAGCCTGGCTTTCTGGCTCAGCTCCCTCTTCCCCACGACAGATCGGCTCAGCGTCCGCATCACTGCAGATGCCGAACCAATCCACCTGTCAATCTCCTCATCCCTCCTACCCTCACTCGTGAACAAGACCCCGAGATACTTAAACTCCTCCACTTGAGGTAGGACCGCTCCCCCGACCCGGAGTTGGCAAGCCATCCTTTTCCGGTGCTCACGTTCAATTTGTTTAATGATCCACTTCCTAACAGGCAAAAAAACGGATTACATGTCGAAACCAAAGATAAATCATTTTGTTGCTGTGAGTTTGGGATTTTTAAAACAAACTATTTATTCCCTCTGTGGTCTGACAAAAATATCACCGAATTCTGTGTTTCACCCCGTTAGTCGGCTCCATTCCAGCTCGTTACCACAAATTTTACACTTTTTTAAAAATATTTCAACAATCAAATAAAGAATAACTCATTTAGGAGGAAATCCAGAAGTGCATCAAGTTATGATAAATGACCCGCACTTGTATAGCGCCTCTCAGAGTAAGGACTCCAAAGAGCTTTACACTACAGTGCATCATTCATTCATTCACACACTGATGGTGATGAGCTACGATGTAGCCACAGCTGCCCTGGGGCGCACTGACAGAGGCGAGGCTGCCGAGCGCTGGTGCCACCGGTCCCTCCGACCACCACCAGCAGACAAGGTGGGTTAAGTGTCTTGCCCAAGGACACAAAGGCAGAATTCTCTGTCCGGGGCCGGGCTCGAACCTGCAACCTTCCGATTACTGGACCAACCAATTACCATACCAATTTTATTTATATAGCACATTTAAACACGGCATGAGAGCCGACCAACGTGCTGAACAAAACACACAATAAAAACAATCAAAAATAAAAACTAAATCCATTAAAATCAAGTAATCCAACCCTAAAAGGAAAGGTAGAAAGGGAATAAGTTAGACAGAATTAAAAGCCAGAGAATAAAAGTGAGTTTTTAAACGAGACTTAAAAAGGGAAAGAGAGGAAGAGAGTCTGATCGGGAGGGGCAAGTGGTTCCAGAGCTTCGGTGCACAAACTGAAAAGGCGCGCTCCCCGCGGGACTTACAGCGGGAGCTAGGGACATGTAGGAGGTGTTGGTCAGCTGATCGGAGAGATCTTGTAGGGACATATGGGTGAATGAGCTCAGTTATTTAGGGATTTAAACACAAAAACCCGCTCTACCTCCTGAGCTGCTGCTGTTATTCAGGCTCTACAGTTATAATAGCACTAATATTCAATTTTATTTGTTAGTACTTTTAATAAAACTCATGCAGCGATTGCATAATAGGAACATATAAAATGCAACTTGAGTCGGAAAAGGACAGAACGCCTTCTCCGGGTCAGGGATGAGGTCCTGCCCCAAGTGGACTTTAGGTACCTCAGGTCCTGTTCACGAGCGAGGGAAAGATGGAGTGCGAGTTCGACCTCCGGACTGGTGCTGCATCCGCAGTGATGAGGGCGTTGTACCGGTCTGTCGCGGTGAAGAGAGAGCTGAGCCTGAAAGCGGAGCTCTCGATTTACCGGCCGATCTACGTTCCTACCCTCGGGAACGGGATCTGCGGATACAAGCGGCCGAAATGAGTTTTCTCATTCGGTGTCTGGGCTCTTTTTTAGCAATAGGGTGAGAAGCTCAGTCATCCGGGAGGGGCTCAGAGTAGACCCGCTGCTCCTCCAGATCAAGAGGAGCCAGTTGAGGTGGCTCAGGCATCTGATTAGGATGCCTCCTGGACGCCTCGCTGGGGAAGTTTTCCAGGCATGTCCAACCAGGAGGAGACCCAAAGGAAAACCCAGAACACACTGGAGAGATTGTCTCTTTCCTGTTTCCTGGCCAGGGAGCACCGTAGGATTTCCCCGAGAAGCTGGCCCAAGTAGCTGGGGAGAGGGAAGTCTGGACCTCTCAGCTTAGGCTGCTGCCCCTGCGACCCGACCCCGGATAAGCGGAGTAAAATGGATGGATCCATAATTTGAGGTATTTTTCAAACATTGAATTAAAAGAACAAATCACCTTTCAGACAGGCTACTGAGGCAAAGCTTTTAAAAATCCAACAAAAAAGGGTTTTCTGTGATTCATCCGTTGAGTTTAGAGCCTAAATGATGACTCGTGGTTTTAATAAAACAAACTCAGGGTCACGTAATAAACAGAGCATGAGTAAAAGGAACAGAAAAGTCTAAAGAAATCAAGAAATTAAGATCATAACTATTTTAAAATATCATCGGAAGAAGATCCGAGTACTTGGATCAGTTCTCGCATGGCAAAGGAAATGTGTCTTATCTATCAGACGTTTTGTGTGTTAAATGATCTGAACCGACAGAACGGCCTCCCGTGGTGCCGTTAGATTGCTGCACATTAAGACATTAGAAATGTGTCCTCTGATCTCAGCTTGGCACAAGCTTTCTGACACATTCCCCTTCCCATGATGCTTTGCCCCGCAGCTCCTGCTCACCCAGAAGGAGCTGCAGCGGTCTCGGACGGCACTGGTTTGAGGGACGGTGACCCCAGTGACCTCAAACCCAGACCTAACACCACAGCTCGGAGCGGGCTACATCTGCTTCCTGTAGCGCCGACAATCACACCTGGAAATGCAGAATCATCACAGTTTTAGCTGTGTAGACTCTCAAGCGGCTGGAGTTTTTTTTTAAGGTTTAATGTACCTAAAAGTACATTTTAATTTCACGTTTTAGTTATAAAGAATTTTTCTAACGTCACTCTGAGTCCAGATGTTGGCTGGACTTTTTGGACTAGAATTGTTGAATTTCTGCCCTTTTAGGGACTGAAAACTCATTTAATCTAAAAAACAGGGGCGTGTCCAGATCTTTTAAAATGGGGTGGCCCAGGTGAGGCACAACTTTGTGCATGGGTGGCACCAATGGTTATGCTTTTTTTGTTTTACCCCCAAGCCTTTTGTGGACAATGAAAAGCCTATTTAAAGGTAATTTAGTGTGGTGGCACCTGGGGTGGCCAATCAGATTCCAAGGGTGGCATGTGCTACCCCAGGCCACTCCCTGGACACGCCCCTGCTAAAAAAAAGAGCAAAAACGGAACGCTTCTGCCCTGACTACCGCTAGCTCGTCCCTCTCTGAAGAGACTTTTTGTTTGCTAACTAAACCCTTCAGGTCTGCAGCAGCTGCTGCTGTTAACTCACAACACGAACCTCAAACCACACCCAAGCTCTCAGCTTCTTCCTTGGTGGATATTCCTCTAACTGCTCTGCTCCTATTGGTCTGAGCTTCACACACACACACACACACACACACACACACACACACACACACACACACACACACACACACACACACACACACAGATGTTGTGTGTTTGAGCAGGGTAGGGAACAGGACTTGGAACAGCTGGGACTTTAAGACCCATCCTGGTGAGTACCTGCTCTACTACTGAAGGTGTTTGATGTTCAGTAGGGAATGTCTGGGAGCTTTTCCTTTCCTGCCATGGAGGTGATCTTTTAGACCCCTGTTTTATCTTCTCAGTGTACCAGGGAGACCACAATCTGATCTTCTCCCCTTCTGGCATCATGGGTCAGAGCTTCAGCTTCTTCTCTTTGAAACACCACCCACCCAAACAAGATCCCATTGATCAGAAGCACCAACCAGGAGTCTTCTCCAAGCTGGCGGCTGCTGCAAACAAGCCTGGAGATTTCGTACATCTCATCAGCAACTGCATCTCTGCTGCATCGACCAGAACCCAGGAGTACCTCGCCTTTAAAGATCTAGAGGAGAAGTTCCACCCGAGTCCTCGTGTGTTGATTCAGGTCAATCATCGGGATGTTTGGTTCAAGTCCTTCTTCCTGCTCTTTCAAACATGTCTCCTTCTAACAGGTCTTCCTGATGACCTACATCACTCAGATCTTCAGCCTGAACGTGACCGACGCCTTCAGCTGCACGGTCACGACGCCCGAGCAGCGGGTCCTCCCGGGAGCTGACTGGGTTTGGGCCACGCTGGAGAAACCCTCCCAGAACCCAAAAATACAAATCGTTGTTCAGGTTCTCCACCTACCTGAGGGGGAGGAACCCGAGGAGACAGCAGAGGAAGCCAACATGGAGGCCATCAAGATGGCCCAGATGGAGCCTGGTGGGATGAACCCCCATGAGAAAACAGTTGACTTCCGCGCCTCTGTCGGGAAGGACTGCTTCGCCCTCTTCCTGCTCTTCGGGAAACAAGACGACCAGGAGAACATCTACGGTGTCCGGAGCAATAACTTTGAGGCGGCCATTGCAAAAGGCAACAAGGTGGACAGGTGTTTGATCGAGCACTTCTTCAAGGGTTCTAGCAGGTTCCACACACCTTTAGAAATCATGCAGGCGGTTTTCAGCATCAAAACGAGCCGACCCCTCACCCTGATCACCAAATTCAGCTGAAGAGGCCATTTTCATCCTCTTGCAAATCAGACAAGTTTTATTAGGAAAATCTGGGAAATTGGGCACCTTTAATCCCTTGCAGATTATACTCTCATCAAACTGTTAATCAGATGGTTTTATTTATATTTAAATTTTTGGAGCTTAAACACGATTTAGACATTTGGGTTTAATAACTAACCTTTGCTCAAAACACAAGTTCAGAACATTTTAAAGGCTTTTAGCGCCCCCTAGTGTCCGTCTGTGGAGCCCAAAGCAAAACTTATCTCCTTGTGTGTTTTTAAAGATTAAATTCCCATATTTGTCACATACACCGGTGTGATGTGGTGAAAACTGTTCTCCATCCCCACGGGAGGCAGTGGGCTGCAGACCCGGCCGCACACGGGAACTATTTGGTGGTTTAACCCCCCCAACGCAAGCCTTTAAAGCTGAGTTTCAAGTACGGAGGCATTTGGTCCCATTTTTATAAAATCTTTGGTACGACCCGACTGGGATTTGAACCCCGACCTCCATCCCCTTCCACACAGCTCATGGATCCCCGGAAGAATGAAAAAATGAACGTAAGTCAATGGAGCTAAAAGAGCTATCTTCTAATCTGCTCTGCCTTACGCCCTGATCACACATATGTACTGCTATTTAAATCGAAAGTAGTGATGGGTGTTTCGACCACGCCAGTCACGTACTTTGAGATTTATTAGCTTGTAAAAGTTTGTAATTAACACGACTAAATCGGCACATCGCATATATGACATCACCACATAATCTCCTCCCCCTAGCGTAGCTGCTACTTACCACATGGCCATACTTATGGCGGTTCTTTCCTCCTGAAGAAAAGATTAGCTGAACTTACAGCCCTTTTCCCTCAGTTTTCTCCGTGTCTGGTTCGATGACGTCACTTTCGTGAAGCACATTTGTAGTCCTGGACTTATTATCACACAAAGCCTAAAATATCGTCGTCGTCGTCCCCCCCAATGGGAAAAAGAGGGCTTTCTTGGTATCAAATGCGTATTTAAAATTCACGGACATCATATGTGAAATCCATGACACATAGAAAGCAGAATTAGAAAATAGCGCAGCGGTGTCCAATCCTGGTCCTCGAGGGCCGGTCTCCAGCACGTTTTCGTTTTAACCTGCTTCAACACACCTGATTTCAATCAGCAGGTGATTAACAGGCTTCTGCAGAGCCTGATGAGCTGCTGCACAGGTGATTCATTCAGCTAATCAAGCATGTTGAAGCAGAAAAACCACAAAACCTGCTGGTTAACGGCCCTCCAGGACCAGGATTGGACACCCTTGATAGCGTTTTTAGCCCCGTTGACTTGCGTTCATTTTTTCGTTCTTCCAGGGAACCGTGGTCCGGAAGTTGGCGTGACTTAGGCTCCCTCGACCTCTAGGCCACTGTGATGATGATGCCATTTAAAAACTTAATCTAACTGCTGAAATGTTTCCCCAGCCTTCATTAGTGTCTACAGAAGTGATTCATCACTAAATTATACCTATCTGCTCATGATCTAAAACAAGCAGTGTTGGGCAAGTTACTTCAAAACTGTAATGCATTATTTATTACTTGTTACCCTCATTTTAAAGTAATTCATTACTTACAATATTACTGATTTTAAAATGTAAGGCATTACACTACTTTTGCATTACTTTAAGTTACTTTCACCAAAACAACTTCAGTATGAATCTGGTCACGTGACGCTCAGCGAGCTCATGACATATATGTGGAAGGTGATGTGGTGTCTGAGCTAGGGTTGCTGTTAAAACAGTCAGATATAATAACAGTGCTTTAAAATGATTGTTTATTAAATAAAAGCAACAACAATCTGTACTCTCAGCACGCTGCCATCTTATAGGGCCATCTGAGCAGGGAGTGAGGTGGTGGGGGCTCCAAGCCTATATTTGCCTTGGTCCCCAAATGCCTTGATACGGCCCTGGATGTGGGACTGACTTCTGGGGAGATCTGATTCTATCACATGTATAAATATTAAATGCTTATAGATTATTTCTTTTCACTGGTAAAAATGTGTATTGGGGATAAATCTACCTACTTTTTTCTTTTTAAGCACTTTGTTTTGTTTTCTTGATTTTATGTGAATAATTTCCGGCCCTTTCTCTCTCTAACCTTCCTGCATGCTGCATGTTTTCTCCGTCTCCCAGAAAAACTGTTTCCTAGATTTCCTATTTTCTAACTAATCAGCCAAAGGGATCTACCGAACTAAAAAAAAAAAAAAAGCTTAATATGCGCTGCGCTCCAGCAGCAATGAGCTGAAATCACCGGGGCACAGATGATGAACTCAGCTGAAAAGTACATGAAGTACCAGAGAATATGGGCTGATATAAACGATCGCAAACGAATTACTTTGTGTTGGTGGAGCGATTTTGTGAATATAACAGCGGCCGTGCGCAGGACGCAGCTGGAGTATTTGAGCCATCACCGCTGTGTCCTCTCTGCTCATAGAATGCCCACAAAGCTGAGTCCATAAATGACGTCATATATGTGGATACTGAATCTTTTTTCAGGCTTCCCGCAATTTGAATTTTTAGGAAACCCACATCTTGATTCTGGGATTAAAAATGCATTGTAATTACCGCGTTACTGACAACTGTACCGAGTAAATATGACCATTTTCTTTCCCTGTAATGCCTTACATTACCACATTACAGCAAAAAGCAATGCATTACAGTAATTAATTACTTTTGTACCGCGTTACTCCAAAGACTGAAAACAAGCTGGAATGTCAGCGTCCCGCCAGTCTCACAGGGCCGACAGGGGCTGGGTGGCCTTTCATTAACCCTGTAAAGCCGGGGTCCTCAGCAAAATTTGTTCAAGGGCCGAAGTTTCTCCTGGCTGACACCGCGAGGGCCAAATGCTCTAAGATAAAGTTCAAGTGTTATTGTATCTTAATTTATTAATATTTAAAATGGATTTGTCTTCCATCTAAACTGTTTTGATTATAATTTTAATGCACCGGAGAATGTAAACAATTAACTGTATTTGGGACAGGAATTCTGTTGTTAAACTTTAAGGTCGTCCAATTCGGGGGTGTTATGGCCCAAAGGGTTGGGGGGCAGGGAGGAAAGTTCTGGCGGGCCGGATGTGGCCCGCGGGCCGCCACTTGAGGTTTACTGCTGTAAAGGGTCATTTTAGCACATACTGGCTCAAGGAATGATTTCGACATATGGAAATTTGCAAAGCATCCCTTTAAATGTATACAGAATTTTTTGTACTAACAGTAAAAATTTAATAAAAGTTAATTCAACTGCTTCTTGTTGAGTTTTGCTAGATAAAAATTTTAATTAAAGCAAATAATTTTCTAAAGTTTTTCTTAGTATTGTTTTATACTTTGTCTAAATTTTAAATGTGCTTAGCCACTGGCTAATTTCAAGCTGCGTTTCATTTAATTTTGATTATAAAGTATGAAGTATTCCTTATTTATTTGGAAAAATGTGCTGAACTGTTAAGATCTGATAAGTCCGAATGTTTTATTAAACACTTAAAGTTCCATGTTTATACAAAAATTCTGCGTGAAAAAGGATTTAAGGTGTTTGATACTGCACAGATGTATAAAAAGGCACATTTAAACTGGTCACATGACTTCCTTTGTCGGATAATTCCAGGAAATTCACCTGGCTCATGTCAGGAATAAAAAAACAGCTCATCACAGTTCATCCTTCACATCCGTTCTGTTTCTGAGACAGGTGCATGCAGCTGTGTGGTCATCCGACTGCAGCACCTGCTCCATGTCAGCGTGCCGCGTCGGCCGTCCCGTCTGCAGCTCGGAGTACGTGAGCAGAACTCTGTAGTAGTAACAGTACAACCTGCTGGGCTGCAGCAGTTCCCGGGCTGCGGCCTGCCCGCTCCGGGCCACCTCTTTGGCCTCAGCGTCGTTCTCTTTGGCCCATTTGATTTTGTCCAAAAGGTCCGACAGGTTTCTCTTCACAGAGATGTAGTGACTTCCTGCTCTGAGGCGGCTGTAGAAGTGCTCGTAGAACTGTGAGTCCTGCTTCAGGACCAGGCTGTTTCCCAGCATCAGGTACGGAAACCGATACGCCGCCACCGTTCCGTCCACGTTCACCTGGTATTTATACTACAAAACAGACAGAAGCGGTCACTTCGGTACATACGGCCACATAGCCATGGTCACAAAGATGGTGGATGTTGGTAAAACGGTACCTCGGACTTTTAATGGATGAAGAATTTATTTACCAAACAAAGCACAAAGCCTCACCTTAAAGAAGTCGAAGAACCCAATCAGAGGAGCTTTTCCCACGTCTTTCTCTCTGTCCCTGAAGAAGAACCACGCTGTGATGCCGGCGTCCAGCAGATCCGGGTTAGCCTTGGACAGAGACACCAGCTGAAGACGCTCCTCCCGACTGTCCCGTCCACGGAAAAACGCACGTTCGGTTTTATTAGCCCACGGAGGCCCTGGAGAGAAGCGTTCAGGTGAAAATGCATATGAACGGCAAATGATTGGAATCTGTTCTGGAGGAATGTCCACAAACAGAAATTTCCTGGTTGTCACTAATAATAATAATAATAATAATAATAATAATAAAAATAATGCATTTTATTTCAAAGCGCCTTTCAAGGGACACAAGGACACTTTATACAGGGTATCTGCAGGTTTAACTCATTCACTGCCATTGACGACTAAAGTCGTCATTTGCATTTTTTTACTGTTTGAGCATCGGAACGAGCCCCCGCGCTGAGAGAACAAACATCTCAGCCCTGAAGCCGATCTTCATCCGCGTACGTCACACGTCACGTGATCAGGAAGCAGACCATCCACGTGTTAGGAGATCGTTTTGGGTCGTTCCTGCAAAAAAAGTGAGGCGCGAACCGGAAAAGCTTCTGCCGATCACAATTCAACAACGGATTATGAAAGAACGGATAACGCTCGAAACACACAGATTCTTCCTGCTGTAAGAGGTGAGTCTCCGCTTTGTTTAGGTTGTTTTGGCATCGACATCATCCTAGCATGCAACGTTCTGTGAGAAACGCTGGCAGCGAATGATTTAAAGGAGCCAAATTTAAGACTTTTTAAGACCTTTTTTAAGGCCACTTTGGCCAAATTTAAGCTATTTTTAAAATTTAATTCAAGCTATAATTTCCACCTATTGCCTGGAACCGGTGCTAACCACGTCGCAAACGTGGGATTAGCCATCCAGTTACCATTAAACTTGCACTTCCCCACGGCGCAAGCTCCCACTAGCTTAACCAGCTAATGTGCTCATCTAAAAATAACCCCCTTTCACATCCAACTGAATGTGTACGGTTCCGCTTACGGCAACATCGTACACAAAAAATGCTGAACACCAACTAGAAATTCGCGAAAATTTTATAGAAATGAAAAATATTTTGTTTATTGGGTCTTTGATGATTTAAGACATTTGGAAACTATATTTAAGGATTATTTGTCATTTTTAAGGCCTTAAATTTGGAAAAGCTTATTTAAGACTTTTTAAGGACACGCGGATACCCTGTTACAACAATAAAAAAAAACAAGAAACCAAGTTAAAAACAGCAAAAATCACACACAGAAGCCTAAAAATACAAACTAGATAATAAAATCAATGAAGATGGAAAAGGTGACACTAGCACTGGTGGGTTTCGAGTCAGAAATTTCCTGGTTGTCACTAATAGTGCATGAGTTGGTGCAAAAAAAGTGCTTGTAAACCTACAGTTGGGAGTGTTTCCCACACTTATTCTATTAAAAACAGATCTGTTTCAGACCCCACCGGCGCCCCCTGGTGGACAGTAGGAGCATCACCTTCCCTCTGCTTGAGTCGATCACGTCCAACTACTTTTTTTACTGACACTCCTCTGGAGGATTTTTGCTTCTGCATGAACTGACATGAAAAAGTTTCAAGCGTCTGTAACCAAGAGCCATGCAGGAAGTTACCCGTGTTGCCTTGAACGGACAGCAGATCATTTGTGACGCCTCTCATCATCTCCAGGGTGGAGTGTGTGACTTCATATGTGGGGAGGACAATATCCCGCGTCTCCGTGGAGCCGCACCACGAGAGGATCGGAACGGCGCCCTCCTTCCTCGCCTCCAGCGGCCAGTCGCCCACGTTGATGAAGAACTCAACGTCGGGAACTCTCACCTTCAGTGAAAAAACGACCAGAGCGTGAACGTTCAAGTGATGCTGATCGTACAAATCAGCCGACAGACAGGCACACCTTCCTGGTTAGAGACAGCAGCATCTCGTCAGAGAACATCTTGAAGTCTGTGTATTTCCCCAACGTGCGTCGGTACACCTTATTATCCGTGATGGTGTAGTGAATGAGCCCTCCTCTGTTGGAAAACCTGCGAGGGACTTCCTGTCGGAGATGCTGCAGGTCGATGGTGGGGAAGGGTTTGAAGTCGGACAGAATCTGGGGTTCGTCCGTGGGACACCGCAGGACGCTCTGCCAGAGGGAAGCACCCGACTCGGGGCAGTCACAGTATTCATGATACACCGGGCCTGAGGAAGAATCAGAACTATTAAGCATAAGTCACCAAATCCCTGGAAAAGGGGAGTTAATTCTCTTCATTTCTGTATAAAACCAGTTTCAGACGAAGAGGAAAGTTCTATAAAATAAACCAAACGTCTTTGATCTGAATGTTTTTAACATTCAGTTTAGAAAATAGACATTTCTACTTCTTCATGCAAAACAAACGTGCCAAATCGATCAATAAAACGCTCAAACAGAAGCATGTGCGACCCACAGGTTGTTTTTATTAAGAAATGAGGGGAAATGTATGTTTTCTGGGATTCTCAGTCTGCAAGTGCAGGTTTGTTAATGAGAGCAAACATTAGCCACCCACTTTTCTTTTCTGTTAAAACAGACGAGCAGAGAAGTAAAGAGTTTTTAACTGGAATGAATTAAATTATGTTTTTATATTCACTTCATGCAAAACAGGTGCGAATTTCATGCATGAGATCTCAGAGAGAGAGAGACCTTGGAGGATGTAGGGGGATTTGGCCACAGCAGCACCTTGGTGCAGAACCTCCACCTTCAGGCCTTTGACTGCAGACCCATACAGCCGGTACCGGACCAGAAAGGACCCGTCCCCTCGGTCCAGAGGAGGGGGAACGTGGACACGGATGAACTCCTTATCGAGGGAAGTGATCTTGACTTTGAACGCATCTTTACCTGAACACAACACACGTCCCGCTCAGGTTCTCTTCCTGCATCTAAACAACCACCAGCTGACACTGAACTCACCTGGAGACACCGCCAGCTTCTCTCCTTCAGAACCGACCGCCTGTATGAAGAAGTACCGGACGGGTAAAACCGCTTTGGGATCCAGCCCTGGACCCCAGATGAGACACCTCTGCGGGCTGAGTCCTCCATCACAAACCGGTACGTTTGTGCTGAAAAATACGATTAAAACCACAAACCTGCGGCCTGCAGATCTACAAATATTTTCTATCGATTTTCCGCTTCGTTTAGCTGCCATTTTTACCTAAATATCACAATAAAACACGTTAGGTTACTGAAAATAATCCCTAAAGTTTTCTTACAAATTCCTGATCCGACATGTTGGCTGTAGGACACGCCCACTACCTACTGTTGCGTTCAGGAGCGTCGGAATTGTTAACGTCAAACCGTACTGCAGATTTGCTAAACGGATTTTTATTTATTTCAAGCCTGAACAAAATGTAATTAGAATAAATAATATAGTATCCACCTGGGATCTGAGCTTTTCTTGTGGATGAAAGGTTTGTCTCCGCAAACTATTTATTAGAACCGATCTAAAGGGAATTAAAAACACGCTTGTTTTGTAATATTTAGTATTTCAACATAAAAAACAGTTTCTTTGAATAATTTACTAAAATTCCAAATTTAAAATATAGGTTTCTCTAATTAATAAAAACGGGTCTAAACTGAACAGAATAAAATATTCTATAAATAAACTTTACATTATAATCATTTACTTTAAGAAACTTTACATTAATATTAAGATTCGGTGATGGAGCAGCCATAGGACTGCATAAAGTTATAAAAAAGTAAATTGTCGCAATAAAAAGTTTTAAAGGTATTTCAAATATCTAAAAAGTATAAAAACTAAAAGTCTTTAGATAAAATTAGCCTAATGACAAAATTATTTGTTGTATAATAAACATTAAAATTGTAATACTGCTGCAGAACAGGAACTATTTTAAACTAAAACTTATTTTTTTAAACTATTAAATCATTAAAAGATAAATTCTCAGTAATTTAAGTTTTCTATGAAACTTCTCAGAGATTGCCTTTACTTAAAGAGTTATTTAGTTTGTAACAAACCCGTTCACTTCAATAATTTAAACATATCAGTGTGAAACTAAAAGATAAAAATCTCTGAAATATTCAACTTTTTTACAGATTACTGTTTTGTTTTACACATATCATGTAGCGTCCAGCAATGGTCAGTTTGGGTAGAGTCTGACCTTTCACCATCTATTCAACATCTGGTCAGAAAGGAGACACAATATTGCACGTGTTCCCTTTAATGAGCAGGCTTCACACCAGCTGGGATTCAGACTCTGCTAGTCTGAATCATGAACAATAACTTTCTTTCCCAAGGTCTCATCTGTCTGCCTCCAGAACAAAGAAGATCCGGCTCGAATCAGTTGCTAAATTCAAGAATGATTCAAGAAGAAAAGACGCTGAGAATAATAGATGTTATGGTTGTCTACTAGACTGCAATGTGTTCAGCATGTTTTGATGACAAGGTCCTCACACCTGCACATCCGCAACAACAAGTAAGGTTAAGTTAGACTACAACACATGACTTGTTTTCTTTACCAGTCAGGACTTCCGTATTAAAGAAGGCATGTTTCTGAGTTTTCTTGGTAACATCTTCTTTCCTGTCAGCCTCTGATTGGCTGTGAAAATCGTAACATAAATTCTTTAAAACTAAATCACTTTGGGTAATTTGCCAGTTCTAGAGAAAGCTTCAGACCGGCCATCTTTAGCAAATCTCTTTAACCATCGAAGATTCTGACATGTCGTCAAAACCTTTTTGCACCTACAAAGCTGAGACAGCAAACAGTTCCTGCAGAACAAAGCCGATATCGTTCAACTCCTTAAGAGTTATTCCTGAGACGCAAGCTGATTCTAACCTGTGCTGCCCGGTGACATCTTTTGGACTGGAGAAGTCGGTGCGTGCGGTCAATCTACCGGACCTGGGTGCCCCGAGGTCATCCGACCTCTCTGGCGTCTGGATCCATGACGAGGGTCATCAACACAGAGAGATAGCATCTGAATGTGCTTCTGAAGATAACATCCTTGTTTAGAGCAAACCAAATTCTTTTTCATCCGGAAACGCCGCTTTCCGAGATTCGGAAGTTCTGACCAACACCGCATTTACACATAGGTTCCTACATCACCTCTAGCTCCATCCATTCACAGTAAATGCTTAGTTCACTTGTCGTGTTTTAATTGTTTCTAAAATAAATTCTTACAATTATAAACCTGACTCTTTTCTGAATCAAGATGAAGTGTGAATAATTACTTAATAAAGCAAAAATCCTAGAATCTTATGATATTTACATTAAAGATCAAGCAGGGTAATATTGTATTTTTATACACAATATCAAATAAATAATACACATCACTTCTCCGCTACAATAATAAAAACGTGTTAATTACAAGGGTTTTTATTATTCACCTTGACAAAGATACGGATTTAAAAACAACATCAAAACAAACTTGTTTCTTATCAAATCCAGATTTGCACACGGTTCACTTCCTGTGTGCTGCTGAAACAACACACACACACAGTAAACACTGTTTCAGATTTAACACAAGTTAGCTTCACAAGAACAAACAACAACAAAAAAATCATCATTTTGATGCAGTTAAAGACATTAAGGTTGTTCTCCAGTGAATAGAGTAGAAAATGTATTTATTGTCCCTCAGTGAGCAAAGTTAGAAGAAGAAAAATGACTAATAAGAAAATATATTTTCCATTTTGTGACCCAGTTTTTCCAGATTTGGCAGACAGGCATTCCGGATCATCGGAGACGGTCCACAGAGAACGATGAGGACATCTTTGGCCGGAGCGGGGAGGTGGTTCTTGATCATGTCAAAGGTCACGTACCCCGAGCTGTAGCTCCAGTCTGAGAGGAAAATGTTTATTTCATCTTGCTGTGGAATTGATGACTTTCAGAGCAGATTATGGTATGCAACATGTTCACTCTCATGAAATTTCATTAACTGCAAGAATCATGCAGGAAATAAAAAAAGACACAAGCTCTTGGCTAAGCTACGCTAAAACTTTGATGGAAGCGACTCTGATTCTCAGGAATCTTCCAGAGTGGTTTTGGTTTTCTGCAGATTTCTGCAGCCGCGTTCAGTCTGGTGCTTCACTAATCCTTCAGTCTGGCTGGGAACAAGTTCAGTTGTGTTTTCCCTAAAAGATTTTCATCTCAGATGTTGAATAATTTATGATGCATGGGTTAGTTAAACAATATAATTATTTAACTGGCGTATAAACCAACTTCACTGCAGCTTTTGTTCGGTGAAGTTTATCAAAAATGTTCCTTTTTGGATTGGGCAGCAGTAGCTCAGGAGGTAGAGCGGGTTGTCCAGTAATCGGAAGGTTGCAGGTTCAATCCCGGCTCCGGACAGAGAATTCTGCTGTTGTGTCCTTGGGCAAGACACTTAACCCACCTTGCCTGCTGGTGGTGGTCGGAGGGACCGGCGGCGCCTCTGTCAGTGCGCCCCAGGGCAGCTGTGGCTACATTGTAGCTCATCCCCATCAGTGTGTGAATGTGTGTGTGAATGGATGAATGATACACTGTAGTGTAAAGCGTTTTGGAGTCCTTACTCTGAGAGGCGCTATACAAGTGTGGATCATTTATCATTGATTTGATCCATCGTGGGAAAATAACCATTTATGGTCACTTTTTTGTAACACAGACACAGGTTTAATGTAGAATATGTTTTTAATTTACAAAAACTGTTCATTTTAACCTCCTTTTGTTTCCTTAATGTCCCTGAGCTATTTGGGGCAACAGGGTCCAACATATAAAACAAATAAACATAATAATCCTGAACAGTTGGTGGTTCAAGTCATAGAAAGATGAATCAAATTTAAAAATAACTCATTAAAAATGAAAAGTAAAGGGATGCGAGGTTTCAACTGAACAGAATAAATTATTGAAGAATCTCAGACATAAATGACTATTTTATTTGTTTTTAGTAAAGTTAAGATTAATGCAAATGTCTTCCAGGGGAGAAATATTTTTAATAACGGGTTAAGAATAAATGAAGCCAAATAAATTATAAGTAAAGAAGCTTTAATTTAAAAAAAAAACTTGAGCTGGGAAACACATTTTTATTTGGAGCAGAAGTTTAGGAAATTTTTAAATATCTTGTTAAATGTTAAAACCAAAAGCTGAAGTAAACAAAAATCCTCCTGGATGAAAAACTAATAAACATAATTTTAAGATTTTCTCACCCTGTGGAGGTTTGTCCAGCGTGTACCAGAGTTTAACCTTCTCGGGATGGTTCTTCTGCAGCTCCTCCAGTTCCTCCCGCAGTAAAATATCCTTCTCGGTCTGAGAAAAGGGAAAACAGACGAGGTGATCTCCATGTTTGTGCATTTTTACTCGTAACAAAGGCGGAACAGCTGACCTGGTTGGCAAAGATGAGCGAGCATTTGGTGTTGTCAGCAGGATCTGACGTGATCCTCTGGATCAGCTGCAGCATCGGTGTGATCCCTGAGATGGTCAAAGGCAAAGAAATCTTCTGATGCGTCTTTCGAAATAAAAATAATAACGTTACGGGTTTAAAAGTTGTAAAGAAATGAATGAATTAAGAACCTGTTCCCCCAGCAATCATCCCGACGTGCTGGAACTTCTGGATGTTTGGGTCAGTCTTCTTGTTGGCTCGGATGGAAAACACACCTGATCAAAGGAGAGGTTCATTAGAGCACAGCGCCGCGGCTCTGGAGCCACACGAGGCCCTCTGGAGCCTCCGCATGGTTCTGAAGACTTTAGCCAAAAACAATAAAAAAAACTAAATCGTGTTTTAAGTTATTGTAAGAAAGAAATGAAGGATTAAGCATTTATTCTCTTTTTTCATGGAATAATTTCACAATAGAATGACACTACATGTACCAGTAATGTTTTTTCCACAAATATCGAGACATGAAAAAAATTCCATTCTCTTGTTGCAAAATGTGTTTTAGTTTCAGAAATCTGGAGAAAAGAGCTGATCTTCTTTAGAAGATAAGAACTAAGAGTTGTCTCTTTTCAGAAGGTCCCGGAACATTTGCAGCTCTAAACAAGTTTTATTTAGGTGGAACGAGTGGAAAACGACTCTGATTTATTGTAATAATAAAAACACACCGTTGTCCTTGTAGATGAGGAGTCCATTGGGTCCTCTGAAGTCTATGGTGTCTCCGATAGCCATCTTGTCCAGGTACTGAGACATTTGTCCTCCTTCTGGGTAGGACAGATGGCTGCCTTTGTAGTAGATCTGAAGAAGTTGGTTCATTTAAACATTATTTAGTTACATATCTATCTAGAACAAATCCACTGGTAAATAAGATAAAAACTTATAAAGCACCCAAAAAATCTCTTAATCTTTTGTAAATAACTCACTTGGAGACTTTGTGACCTTTACCCTTAATAGTTGTAACGTGATGGAGGAGCTATTCCACCGAAGGTTATTTGCCCTCTCTCCACAGATGCCTCTGACACAGTACCAGAGCGCATGAGACTGCCTCAAGGTCATGCATTCACTTCTAAACTGCTTCCTTTCCAGCCCAAGAGAAGACTGAAGATAAAGGACTCTTTCCTTTTGATAAATCAAAGAACTCTATTTTTAATAAAGCTAATCAAACAAAGTGTTGGTCAATAATATAATGTTGACCAATCTGTGAAATAACAATGTTATGATTTATATGCTTTAATAAGTAAATGACTTTAGCTGCACTAGACATGCTGACTACACGTAATGTAAACACACGACACATTGCTTTTACTCATCCAATCAGAACCTTCCTTTCTGAAGCGTGGCATAGTCTCTGCCATAAATAAATCTGCCAACTTTGATTCGACCAGAAATCAAAACATCCAGATTAATAAAACCAGTCCCACGCCGTCTTAGTTCAGTTCTCTGAGTTCTCTACAGTTCACTGCAGTTCACCACATGCTAAGAGGAGTATCGGACCGGCCACCCGGACTTCCTTTTTTAAGCAAAGAACAACAAGCTGGATAAAATCTGTTGCATTTTACCAACCAAGCAACGGTTCCTTTCAGAATAAAAGCTGAACTCACTGACCCAAAGGGGGTCCATCTGACGCTGTCAATAACTCACTTGGAGACACTTTGTGACCTTTACCCTTAATAGTGGACCCAAAGTTGTTTCTGATTAACGTTTCTGGATCTTTAACTACCTTAACCACAAGATCAACAAAGCCCTGGTCCTCATCGCTGGAGACTGGAGTGTAGGGCCGGACCACCAGGAGGCCGTTCACCTTGGCGGACAGGTAGACGTGCTGACCTGGAGCCGAGGAGAGACGGTTTTAGATGCTTTTTCAAGAAAGTATTTATGGAGTTTATTTATTTATTTATTTATTTATTTTACTAATCTGCCAAAATAAAGTACATCAAACAGTTGAAGAAAATATAAACAAAAACACAGACTTACCTGAAAAGCTTATTTGTTTGTTAAAGGCTGAAATAAAATCTAATCACATTTTTATTTGTTTCAAACAAAAAAATGTAAAAAGAAAATAATTTTCTTTATTCTTTTTGCTCTGATGAATATTTTTTGTTCAAAGGGAAAACAAGTTTTGTGGGCGGGGCCTTGTTGCAGGTGATGAAAGACCTCGCTTCATTGGTCGGTGTGTGTAAAAGCACACTTGCAGTTTAAATCAGCTTCAGCGTCTGTGGACAAGCGCTTAGTTATCAGTATTAGTTAGCTGTTAGTCGTATTAGTTAAGGGTAGACCGGGGTTACTTCTGTCACTTCGGCCAATGAAGACAGAAGTTACATCACTAGTGTTGTGCCTGAACAAGTTCAGCGAACGATCATTCGTGAACTTTTTCACTTAACTGAATTTGCTCATTTTGTGTGATGAACTCCACAGTTGGTGCACTCACTCTGGAGTTTGGACGGTGCTGTCTTGCCATTCGGGAACTCCGGGTTTACATGAAGCTAAAGCCGTGGCTAACAACTTCCTGCTACTCATTGATATTAAAAAGAATAGACCCTGCAAAGGCCGCATTTGAAATGCGATTGCCACAGTCAGCTGAGATCGGTGCGGCACACTTGATAGTTTTGCTTGCTTTTAGCACCCCCTAGTGTCCGTTGTAAATAGCTGTTGTCAAAGCAAAAGTGAAACTTAATCTCCTTCAAGTGGGTTCATCTTTTTAACACCTTAATCTAACTGCTCCTCCGCCTTCATTCGTGTCTATGGGAGCGGTTCATCTCTAAATGAAGCAAATCAGCCGAGTTTAAGATCTAAAACAAGCAGGAAACAGGCTGGAAGCAGACTGCAGTGCCAGGTATGTCAGCTCAATTGTTTCTAAGAGTAACAGGTGCTGGATGGGCACTCTGAAGTTGCAAATGCAGTCTTCTGGCCACAGTGGGGATTTGAGTGACACTTCCTTAAACCTGAAAAGGGTCATTTTAGCACATATTGGCTGAAGAAAATTATTTAAAATTATGAATAAGTTGTAAAGTATCTCTTTAGTGTCTATGCAGTTAATGACAGACCTCCTGGTGTCTTCCATTTACTGGTTGTGCAGCACATCAGCCTGAAGGTCAAAGGTGACAGATCATTTACTGCTGTGGCCCCCAGACTCTGGACTTCTCTCCCCCTGAGCCTGAGATCAGTGGACTCAGTGGTCTCCTTTAAAAAGCAGCTGAAGACTCACCTGTTCAGGCTTTGGTGTGACCTTCATCACCACCCTCTCCTTATTCTGCTCTTTCTACCAATTCTGCTGCAGCCGGGATCTACTGATTCTCTCTTTCTCGTTCTTTTTCACTTTCCTCACATTTTTACTCACAATTTTTACTTTTCCCAATTATATGATTTAAAATCATTTTTATATATTAATTTTGAATGTTTGTTCTTAGGCGCCTCGTGGTTTTGATCTTGAGAGATACTATAAAAGATTGTTTCTTCTTCTTAACTCAGAAGACAAACAACAACTTCATTTTAGATGCACCTTGACAAGCGTATCTTGTAAAATCTTGTTTACTTAGTGAAGTGCATTGAGACGACTCTTGCCGTGATTGCCGTGTGTGTGTGTGTGTGCGTGCGCGCGTGCGTGCGTGCGTGCGTGTGTGTGTGTGTGTCTGCTCTGTCTTCTTGATCCCCAGTGAGTCGTGGAGGATGGCTGTTTATACTGAGCCAGGATTCTCTGGAGGTTTCTTCCTGTTAAAAGGGAGTTTTCCTCTCCACTGTCGCTGCATGCTTGCTTAGTATGAGGATTGCTGTATAGTCACTGACACTAGTCAGTGACTTGATGCAGTTTGCTGGGTTCCTTATATAGGAAACATTATTTCTGATTGGCTTAATGAACTGACCTGAATTGGAATGTTTATTATGTGAAGTGCCTTGAGACGACTCTTGTCGTGATTTGGCGCTTTATAAATAAACTTGAATTGAATTGAATTGAATTTGATGCTTTAGAAATAAACTGAACTGAATTCAGATCAAACACATTTCCACCAGCTACTATTGTTGTTAGGAAGAGCTGCTATATTGAAACTTAAAGTTGGATTAGAAACAAAAAATATGATTTTGTTTTTAATTCAGCTTTTAACAGAATACTAAATATTTTGTGGTATGTTTGTATTTTTTGTTTGTTGTACTTTTGTTTATAAGCTAATAAAGAAACAAAATAAAATCCATATTTTTACATTTTATGCAATAAATGAGGGATTTCTTTACCTACTGGCAGTCCAAGGACATGAGACGCAGACGGAAGGCCAAACCGAAATTTTTTGGTGTCATGGCTGATTTCCTGCAGACAGAAATGTACAAACAAGAAGATGACTCCCATCTTTTTTTCTGCTAAAGTCATTATTTATTCTAACATGATTAAATGAAAACCACCTGTTTTAAAGCTCCTCGGCTCAGGCTGCAGCCTTTAGCCCCTCCTGCAGCTGCCACAAGCGCTCAAATACAGGATCCAAAATTATGTTCATATTAATTTAATGTGTTTTCTCATCAAAAACGAGTCACAAGGGCTCTAAAGAAACAAATTTGATCATCTGGCATCACTAAACCTTGTGTGTGACTTTAATTTGATTTCTGGCAGCTGCAAACCTGAGAATGCCGCCAATAGAAGTTGTTAATGTCCTCGCTTTGCATTGAATTTTCAAAAAATGAAGCAAGTCATCTTCTAATTTATGGTAGTTTTACCTCTTCTTTGACTGATGTAAGTGTGGAGCTTCTTTAAGGTGCTTTGTTTGCTTCTCACCTGTTTGCTGATGAGAGGAAGAGGATATTTCACCATAGGGTCCTGAAGAGTTACCGGCCCCTTCTTCTTCTTCTTCTTTTCTTCTGGAGAGTCTCTCAAGAGGGAGAACACCGCCGTCACCACCACAACAAACAGGGCCAGTACTACTGGGATTGTCTGCAGGACAAATGTCACATTAAATGAGACCAGCTGTGGTCCAGTTCTGCAGAAAACCAAACATTTTTACAGGATTTGAAGCATTATTGCAGCTAAATAACAAAAACTTAATTCAAAGTCAAAAATTTTATTATAATAAAATGTTATTTAATGTAAAAAAGACTTGTACTCACCCAGGTTAGTTCCATAGCTGAGCAAAAAATGTAGCGTGACAGAGCAGAAGACCAGAGTCTAGGCAATGAGGAGCCCGCGGGCACACACACACACACACACACACACACACACACACACACACACACACACAAGGGGGCAAGGCTCACGCTGGGGAAAAGGTGACAGGTCCAAAGCACCAATAAAAAGCAGGTCTGACGGTGACGCTTGACTCGGAGGTGGTGCTCAGGAGGCCAGACCAGCCTTGAAATGGCACCACTGATAAGAGGGGAGGAGGAGAGGTTCTTTGACCCTCAGCAAGACGTGATCAAACCAGTTTGGAAGAAGCGGACACCAGTACACGTCCTAATGTGACTAGTAAGCTCTCAAGAGTGAATTTTATCAGTGTAGAAAATATGAATAATCATCCAAACTGGTGGATCTTTGGAACCTGCTGGTTTAAAACTTCCACTAAATCTCTGCATTATTAGAAATTAATGCAATATAAATGTTTAAAAGAAACAAAAAAAAGTCTAAAGATGCAAAATTAAAAAGAAAATTGATTTTAAGGTCCTTGACTCGTTTTTGATCAGAGCTCTGAATAAAAAATTTTCTTACAGAAAAGCATCAATGCATAAAAATGTAATAGAAACTTGCAATGGTTCTTCTTTCACCAGCTTGATGCTCTCTCTGCTCAAAGTAAAACATTTTAATTCGTTTTTTTTAGAAAAATGAGTACCTGTTGGTCAGAAAAAATCATTACCACTTCAGTTATTTTAAGAATTCTTCAACTTTTTATAACTTAAAAAAAAATCCTAAACAATTATACAAGTTTAACAAAGTGAAATGTGCCTTCCCAATCTGTGGATCATCCACTAGAGGGCAGTAGACTAGCTATGCTGTTAGCACTAATTTATAAACTGCAGTAAACTCTAAAATGTATATTTTAATTTGGAAGAATCTACAAGAAGCGTTCAACCTTGTGTGTGTGTATGTGTGAGTCTTAGATGAAGTGTGGTATTTATAGATCTGAAGCTGATAATTAATAATTTTATATATGACATTTAGATTGAATATTACAAAAGGAAGAAAGAAAATAAAGCTAACATCTGAAGCCGCAAGTAATAATGCAATTAGAGAGTAGTGATAGAAGAAAGTAGCAGAGTGTGGAAAGTGGTCAGTATGTCCTCCAGCAGTCTAAGCCTACAGCAGCATACTTCGAAGATAACCCACCCTTTTAGGTGGAGGCATGTGGCAGGCAGGGCCAGGGAGAACCGTCTTTACCGCCTGTATTCGGCTGCTGTACACTCCAGCTCCCTCTACTCCCCCATTCGTTTAAACCTGGGCTAACATCAGAATTTAACCATAGGCCCTATCAAATGAAAATGTTTTAAGCCTAGTCTTAAAAGTAGACAAGGTGTCTGCCTCGTGGACTAAAGCTGGGAGCTGGTTCCACAGGAGAGGAGCCTGATGACTAAAAGATCTGCCTCCCATCCTATTTTTAGATGATCGAGAAACCACCAGTAAGAGATGTCTAAGCTGCAGCTGTTACACACCTGCTTAGACTCTATCAAAACCTGGATGGTGGGAGCTTTCTTCAGCTGAATGAAGATAAGACTGAGATCCTCATCTGTGCCCCAGACAAGCTGGTTCCCAAAGTCAGAGAGACTCTTGGTCAGCTTGCTTCTCACACCAAACCTTCTGTCAGGAATCTTGGCGTGACCTTTGACCCAGCTCTCACCCTGGATTCTCATGTCAGTTCTCTTGTTCGCTCTTCCTTCTTCCATCTCAGGAACGTTGCTAAGCTGAGTCCCATTCTGTCCCGCTCTGAACTTGAGACAGTTCTCCACACCTTCATCTCCTCACGCTTAGACTACTGTAACTCTCTTTTCACGTGTCTGAGCAGAACCTCCCTGAACCGTCTACAGGTGGTTCAGAACGCCTGTGCTCGGCTTCTGACCAAGTCCTCCAAACACACCCACATCACTCCGCTTCTCCTCCAGCTTCACTGGCTGCCAGTCAACTTCAGGGTTCATTTCTAGATCCTGGTTCTGGTCTATAGGGCCTTACATGGACAAGCACCATCTTACATTGGTGATCTTCTTAGTCCCTACACCCCCAGCAGGTCCCTGAGGTCCAGTGATCAAAGCCTACTGGTTGTGCAGCACCAGGCTAAAGACCAAAGGTGACAGATCATTTGCTGCTGTGGCCCCCAGACTCTGGACCTCTCTCCCCCTGAGCCTGAGATCAGTGGACTCAGTGGTCTCCTTTAAAAAGCAGCAGAAGACTCACTTGTTCAAGCTGGCTTTTGTATGACCTTCTTCACCTCGCTCTCTTTATTCTGCTCTCCCCACCTATTCCACCTTCCTCAGGATCCACTGATTTCCCTCTTTCCTATTCACTCTCTCTCTTTCTTAACATTTTTTCTTTTAAATCGCAATTGCTTATTTTTGCTCATTGTAAATATATTTTTAAACATTTTCTAAATGCTTTTTTATATTTTAATTTTTTTATATGTTTTTGTTTTTGTGAAGCGCCTCATGATTTTTATCTTGAGAGGCGCTATAGAAATGATATTTTCTTCTTCTAAACCTGCTTTGGGGGGCATGACTTGGCTATCTGATAATTATGAGATCCTTAAGTCATAATTATGAGGTTATTTTTTTTATCAGAGTAGCGAGAATGGGTTTCCATATGGTGTACAGCTAAAAATGATATTATTATTATTATTATTATTATTATTATTATTATTATTATTATTATTATTATTATTATTATTACATTTTGCCCAGTATTTATTTTATTTTTTTTTATTTTTTTTTTACTAAAATCGTATTTTTAACATGATATCGGTTTTGTTTATTATTAAATTATTCTCCACAGCACTGTGCTTTTACACACTACGGATGTGTGTGTGTGTGTGTGTGTGTGTGTGTGTGTGTGTGTGTGTTCTCGTGCGCGCCAGGAGCTCCGGAACTAGCTAGTAGCGGCTAACGTTGATACCAAAAATGTACATGTCGCCAGTGGAGGGGAGGCGGTCAGAAGCCGATAAATTGTGTGAATTGGTTCCGTTAGGTAGTTGGAAGACTGGGGACATTGCGGGACAATAAAACAAGACCAAATGTTCGGTCTCTTTAGGAACCACGGTGCTGAAACAAGCGAGAACCGGAGCTCCGTTTGCTGATGTGAAGAAGAAGAGGAAGGAACCCCACAACGAAACCAGAAATCGAGGATTCTCATTGGGATTAACGGGATTCTCCAGGTACGTTAGCCATATTCATCCTGTTGTAGCTGAATCTTCCGTTAGCAACCACGGTACAACCAAAGCTGCTACCCGGGGCTAACAGGAGGTAGCTCGGCTAGCAAGCTAACCGACCCTGGTAAAACCGATCTTTGCCCAGAGACGAAAAACGTTACGACGCCCAGTCTCTCGCTTTTTACCGCGGACCGTTCTACATATGGAGTTTTATGCAGTCGGGAGTGGCTTTAGCTATTTATTTAGTTTCAAATTGAACGGAAGCTACACGTTGGAGTGATGGCTACTTAGCTCATTAGCACATTAGCTATGTGTGTTTCCTGCGCTCACAGACGGATCCCCTGAATTAGCTGATGTTCAACAATAACATCTGAAAGAACAAATCACTCTTTAATCAGCCAGCAGTGTCTGCACTGTTTGGAGTTTCCTGGTTAGCAAACAGAGGATGTAAACATAGAAGTCTGGTGTTAGTCTCAAATGTGAAATTATAACCATAAATTCAAACCTACTATGCTTTTTTTTTTTTTTTACCTAATGAGAATTTTTGGAAACGGCCTGCTTCCTCGCAGGCTCAGAAATCAGGAGGGGTTGTTTTTGTTTATGCTTGTGCATCAGAATTAGGATTATTACACCATCATATTCGTGTCAAGTTCAGGTCAGCTGTGATGGATGTGGCTTCCTTTAGGCTGCTGCTGAAAACAAAGTATTGCACCCTTTCCTGCAACATTACCAACATCGCAGATGAATTTTCGAAAGTTTGAGGGTTAAAGATGATGTGGCAAGATTTAGAAGACAAAAAGCAACGTTTCCACCCATCTTTTTACGGCCGCATAATTGGGGTCGGGCGTGGGGGCAGCAGCCTTAGGGAGGCCCATACTTCCCTCCCCCAGTTGGGCCAGTTCATCTGGGGGAATCCCAGGGTGTTCCCTGGCAAGCTGAGAAATAGTCTCTCCAGCGTTTCCTGGGTCTTCTTTGAGTCACCTCCCGGTTGGATGTACACAGAACCTCACCAGTAGGGATGTAAGAAAATATCGAATATGGAAATATATTGTGATATTTTTCCCTGCATTATATCGATATTCAAAACCAGTATCTCGGATTTTTGGAAGAATTTACATGCAAAGATTTTCTTTTCTTTTGGTGCAATTCACACGCTGACCGTTAGTTGGCAGCAGTGTGCAACTGGTTTTGTTTCCACCATTGAAATGTAAATCCCTCTAATATGGAGTAGGACCTGGCTGCAGACATCAGCTGGCGTGTCACCGGAAGAACTTTCTAGCGAGAACAAGATGGCGTGTCATTACTTTTACCGGAAAATCGACGAGCGAAAGACCTCGGTTGGAAGTTGGTCTTATTTGACTGCCGCTTTTGTTTCAACCATACTCGACGGGTTTCAAAGAGGAAAGGTAAGGATGAAATTAACTAATTGTTGCAACCGTTCTTAGTTCTTAAATGTAGGCACTATAGCATTTAAAGCTTTACCAGAGAATTATTACAAATAATGCACCGTGTTTCATAGCTAATTGTATCAATATTAACACGCAGTCTTAAAACCAATGCAGGGAGTTCACTAGCTAACACAAAAGCTACATAAATAAAGCAATCAGCAATTGTAGCTTAGCTTTAACTTAGCTATTTGGTATTTCTGGTTTCCCTGTTTGTTAAAACAGTTAAAGTAATATTAACTTTATATATACTTTAGATATATATATATACATATATATATATATATATACACATACACATATGTGTATATATATATATATATATATATATATATATATATATATATATGTATGTGCTACTGTCATAAAAATTCCCTGTCTGAAGGACGAAGGGATTTAATATTCAATTTTCATGCGACGTAGGTAACAACGTTATTTAAAAGTTTGCCAGTCCAGATCTGAAGAGAAAAAAAATCCGAAATAAACAGCTTTTTCCGGTAAGTTTTGTTTTAAAAAAACTACTTCCAGTGAAAGTAATGACTTCTGGTTAAGGTAATGACCCACCGTGTAATTTTTCTCTTAAATATGTACATATCAAAGAGAAAAACGACACGGTATGGTTTTTCTCGACAAATCCAAACTACTTCCGGCGACGGTAATGACCCGATGTCTTGTTTTTCCTGATACGTCATTTCCTGTCACGGCAAAGACGCCAGCTGATGTCTGCAGCCAGATGCTTGTGCTAACATGGTTCAGATATGGTAAACATGTTGCATATCAGTTTGGACTGTTTGTTGAATTTTTCTACAATAAATTCTGTCTAAAAAGTCGGAAATATTGTCCGGCTGATAGGGCTGCAACTAATGACTATTTTAATAGTCGACTAGTCACCGACTACTGAAACGATTAGTCGACTAATCAGATAATTATTAAGCTTTTCTTAAATTTAGCATGAGATTTGCTTTAATTATGTGAAAAATGATAATGAACACAAGAAAGATGGGTACTTCAGTGGAAAATGCATATTTTATTAAACTTTGCTGCTGATTGGCCAATTCATACTAAAAGTAAATAAAAATGTCTAACACCAAGTAGGCACAGTGCTCAGTCAGTATAGACGTAAATGCATGAATAAAATGAAAATACTTTTTTCAGGCACAGTCGGACATAACATTAAATCTCTTTGTAAAAACAAAAATATGTTTAAAAAAATGTTCATCTAAAACAAAACGTGTTGGCTTTCCTGTTATTTAAATCCTACCGAGGTGAGTCAGACTCTGTTTCATTCAACTGTCCGACGTGCTTTCTCGTAAGTGTTCATGCATCACCGAGGTGCTGCCGTGATACGCGAGGACTGCTTTGCAAACAATGCAGGTCATCTTTTTGTTCGCCGAATCCCGGCTAGAATGCTCCCAAACTTTAGATGTTTTGGTACGCGTAGCTGCGGTGTCGGACGCCGCCATTTCTGTTAGTTGGCGCTCAGCAGAGAAGCTATTGCGCATGTGCGACTCTCGGCAGAGATTGTAATGAAGTGAGATGCCTCACTTGGTCAGAAAAAACACGTCTGGCGTCAACGTCGACATTTAAATTCATTGTCGACTATTTCTATTGTCGATATTTGTCGACAACGTCGACGAATCGTTGCAGCCCTACTGGCTGAATGTATTGCAATATACTGTGATGTATCGTATCGTGGCTCCGCAGTGGCACAGTGTTTAGAGTTGTTGCCTTGCAGCAAGAAGGTCCTGGGTTCGATTCCCGGCCTGGAATCTTTCTGCATGGAGTTTGCATGTTCTCCCTGTGTGGAGAACCCATGCGTGGGTTCTATCCGGGTACTCCCGCTTCCTCCCACAGTCCAAAAACATGACTGTTAGGTTGATTGGTCTGTCTAAATTGTCCCTAGGTGTGTGTGTGTGCATGGTTGTTTGTCCTGTGTGTCTCTGTGTTGCCCTGCGATGGACTGGCTCTCTGTCCAGGGTGTACCCCGCCTGATTGCCCGTTGACCGCTGGAGATGGGCACCAGTCCCCCCGACCCTTTGTGGACAAAGCGGGTTCGGAAAATGGATGGATGGATGGATATCGTCTCCCCTGTATCGTGATGCGTATCGTATCGCCAGAATTTCACCAAAACACATCCCTACTCACCAGGGAGTCGTCCAGGAAGGGTCCTGGCCAGATGCCTGAGCCACCTTAACTGGCTCCACTCACAAAGCTTTCCACACATAGCAATCCTTTCTATTCAGAGGCATTTCCTGAGTAAAAGCTGTGGACTCTTGTTATTTTATGTGTTGTTTTGACACTTTGATTTTATTTTTCACTCAGATGCAACTTGGTAGGATGGAGGGAAAGTAATGGATTTCCAACACCTTTCCCAACACAGTTCATCTCACTGCCTGTCTTCAGCTTAAGCCATCCAAGTCTCTGCCGCGACCCAGCCAACGAGTTCGGACATGGAGTGAGTTTTTTTCCTTTTCTCCTTCCCACATTCTGAAACATGTCGCCCATCACTCAAATTATCTTCTGTTCCTGCTTTAGTTGGACCTCTCCAGCTTCCAAGCTGAATCCGTATTCCCGAAGCCGCATGTCTGAGGCCTGGCAGCAGCATGCAGTCGCTCCACCTCCGGTTGTCCACGCACTCCCTCCAGGAGCTGAGAACGCACTGAGCTGTGCTGTTTATGGTATCGTACTACAGCCAGATGCTCCGTCGCTGCAGCAGCAGCAGACCCAACATGGACAGCACAGCCAGCAGCATAGTGGGAGTCAGCGGCACGGCCAGCAGCAGCAGCACCCTTCTCAGTCCCAGCAGGCCGAAGCTGAGGGAGCGCACAAATGCGGGGCGTGTGGACATGATGTCTCCCACCTCTCAAACCCTCTTGAACACCAGTGTCTCTTGAGTCAAGACAGGTCGTTCCAGTGCACCCAGTGTCTGAAGATTTTCCACCAGGCCACAGACCTGCTGGAGCACCAGTGCGTTCAGGTGGAGCAGAAGCCGTTTGTGTGTGGGGTGTGCAAGATGGGTTTTTCCCTGCTTTCGTCCCTGGCCCAGCACCACACATCGCATAACAGCAGACACCCCATGAAGTGTTCGATTTGTGAGAAGACGTACCGACCCAGTTCATCTGGTAACACAACGCCCACTTCATCCAGCAGCTCTCAGCCGCCCAGCAATGATGCAGCGTCAGCAAGCAGCAGCTTATCCATTTTACCTTTCCCCTCGGCTCGAGACCGACCGTACAAATGTTCTGTGTGCCAGAAAGGCTTCAAACACCTGTCAGAGCTCACGCGTCACGAACGGGTCCACACGGGAGAGAAACCCTTCAAATGTGACACGTGTGACAAGGCCTTCAGCCAGTCGTCCCACCTGCAGCACCACCAGCGGACGCACAGCAACGAGCGGCCGTTTAAATGCGCCGTGTGTGAAAAGAGCTTCAAGCATCGCTCCCACCTCGTACGCCACATGTACGTGCATTCTGGCGAGCACTTGTTTAAATGCAACCTGTGTGAGCTTCACTTCAAAGAGTCGTCAGAACTGCTCCACCACCCCTGCCACCCGCAGGGTTCGCGCCCGTTCCGCTGCGCCACGTGTGGTAAAGGCTTCAAGCGTCCCTCCGACCTGCGTCAGCATGAGCGCACGCACTCGGAGGAGCGCCCCTTCCACTGCGACGAGTGTCAGATGAGCTTCAGGCAGCAGTACGCCCTGGTGCGCCACCGACGCACGCACAAAGACCCCACTGACCGGCCGTTCAAATGCAGCCTGTGTGACAAGGGCTTCATGCAGCCCTCCCACCTTCTCTACCATCAGCACGTTCATGGCATGGACAACCTGTTCAAGTGCGCCTCCTGTCAGAAGGAGTTCAGCCAATCAGGAGAGCTGCTCAGACACAAGTGTGGCGAGCCGTCCAACACCTCGCCCGACAAGCCGTACAAGTGCGACATTTGCGGGAAAGGATACAAGAAGAGTTCCACGTTGCAGCGCCACCAGAACGCCCACTGCCAGGAGAAGCCCCTGAAGTGCTCGCTGTGCGACCGCCGCTTCACAATTTCGTCGGAGTTCGTTCAGCACCGCTGTGACCCCTCCAGGGAGAAGCCCCTGAAGTGCCCTGGCTGTGAGAAGCGCTTCAAGTACACGTCAGACCTGAACCGGCACCGACGCGTGCACACGGGCGAGAAGCCGTACAAGTGCGACCACTGCGACAAGGGCTTCAAACAGCGCGAGCACCTGATCAAACACCAGAGCACACACTCCAGGGAGGGCCAGTTCAAGTGTGTTTGGTGTGGGGAGTGGTTCAGTGACTTGGTCTCTTTGCAGGATCACACAGCGCAGCACACGTCTGATGGAGGCGGCTACAACATGCCACAGTGCATTTGAGTCCCTGACCTTTTTGTTGTTAGACAGACGCTCCATCCTCCTGACTGTCACCTCTGAACTGTTTATGATGCCTAGCAGGTAGTTATGGGCTGTTCTTTTGATTGTCGTTAACACAATTAATGTTGAGACCTTCATCCCCGTCAGTGCTGTGTCCGCTTTTTGTTTCACTTCTTACTTTTGTAGGTAAAGGTGTTTTAGGAGCTTGAAATGCTCTTCATACTGATGGCAACCCAAAAATTGTGTTGTTTTCTTTTTAAATGAATAATTTTAATCACCTCTGCAATGTATAATCCTAAAAAAACCTCATCTAATCGTTGTGAGTGCCCCGTTTCCCCTCCGAACAGGAATCGCGCGTTCTCAGCTCAGAGCAGCTGAACAGGAAGTGAAGCCCGACGCGAGCTGTGTAGCGTAACAGGTGGAATGTTCTGGTGGAATAGGGGTTGTACCTTTAACTCATTCGCTGCCACCATTTTTACTGTTTTTTAAAAGAGTGACAGAACGCTGCACGCTAGGATGATGTTGACGCCAAAACAACCAAAACAAAGCGGAGACTCACCTCTTACATCAGGAAGAGTCCGCGCTTCGAGCGTTATCCGTTCTTTCGTAATCCGTTGTTGAATTGTGATCGGCAGAAACTTTTCCGGTTCGCTCCTCACTTTTTTTTTACAGCAGCGGCCCAAAAACGATCTCCTAACACATGGATGTTCTGCTTCCTGATCACGTGACGTGTGACGTACGCGGATGACGATCGGCTTTAAAGCTGAGATGTTTGTTCTCATGGTGCGGGGGCTCGTCCGACGCCCACACAGTTAAAAAATGCAAAAAAAAATTGGCAGTGAATGCGTTGATCCATTTTTCAGCCTGAAACTAGAGTTGGTTGCGTAGTAAAACAATAACTTCTTAATAGGTCATGGGGGGTTTAATTCTAATTTACATAAAGTGGTAAACGATAAAGTTTAACTGTTAATGTTTTCCACAGCCTGCTCACAAACGTGTTTATTTACGAGATCCTGCTGGTTTAAGTATTAAATTAATAAAAGATCTCTCTACTGTTAATAAAGAAGGCCCTGTTTATGATACACTGAAGAACGGAAGCTTTTTTACTAGTTATTCTCCCTACTTCATGCATTTCCATCCTCCAGAGGCGACCCCTACTCCTTAGGGTGTTCCCTGTCTGAACAGATCTACGGTTTGGCGCTGAAACGTGCCATAAATCTGGTTTAGTTAGACTTTTCTGTTTCTGCCATGTTTGTGTTTTCTAAAGAAGCTTGTTTCTTATCCAGCCGCTCACCACTTCTCCTTCCCCCACACTTTCCTCTGATTGCTCCTCTTCCTCGTCCTGTGCCGACCCAGCGGTTCCCGTGACCTGAACTGTGTTTAAACTTCCGTTCTTTGACATGAAGGAACTTTTTTGTGAATATATAACGAGGTATGAAGTTAGTTTATTGATCTTCTAATGAAATCGCTGAAGAGGTGTGTGTTGGCAGTGATTTTTTTTGGCCACTACTGTTAAAATACTAATCAGAGGCAGCTCCGTATTGTGTGCAGATTAACCAAGAGCCTCAAACGGTTGATGCTAATCTCACCCACTAGTGAAATATTAATGTGTGAATATTCCAAAACTCTGTTCTGGTCGATCTGCTGCCGAGGTTAGTGTTGGTAGATTATGTGTGTTTCAAAATGTCCAAGTTTAAAGAGCAAGCCACTCCAAATCAGCTTTTTTTTTTTTTTTTTTTTTTTTTTGCTGATAAACTATATAAATGAGTGTCTGATCGTGCTGCAGACACATGTAGTCAATAATTCGGCCTTTAAGTGCATCTTAGTTAAAATTTTAATATTCTGCCTAAAACTGTCAGCGATACACCGTCGTCAGGTAAAAACTCAGCACTGCATTTGAGTTTAAACCTGCTGTCGCTATTGGCTAAGAGGTACACTATGATGTCAGATGGTACATTATGATGTCACAATGTCGTGAATGTGTGTATTTGCCTGCGGCTACGCCCTCTCGGTCTGCTAGGCAATAGCATTTGTTGCATTTTCCAAACAAAGTGGGAGTTGAGTAAGAATCTGGTAGGGGTGACTTGCTCTTTAAACATGCCCCCCCCCCCCCCAGCCTGTACATACAGTGGATGTGTACTTGGCCAAGATGGCCAGAAGTTGTCTATTCTAAAAATTAGAAAATGTATTGATTTTTTTTTTTTGTATTCTTGCAACTTTTTATCACGTAAGACGTTCTGAGAGCTGTTCTTTCTTCGTTGATGTTTCTTTCCTCGTCTGCTGCAGTTACTCACAGAGAAACCTGACGTGTGAGTCTGAGTAAACGATGAATTCGGACCAGCGCCTTCCTGGTCTGTCTGACTGCTGCTTCAGCAGCATCAGCCTGAGTTTGAAGGGTTCGATCCTGTTCCTGGTTCCTGTTGGAGGGTTTGTTACCTGAGCGAGCGACACCTGTCTCCTCTTTAAATGCTATGAGATTCTTGTTGCTTTGTTTTGATATGAATTGTTGCTTCATTTCCTTTCTTTGCTCTGTTCAACACTGATTTTAAGGATTGAGTGCAGTATTTAAGAATTATCTAGAGGTATTTAAAACAAACTGAAGGTAGGAGTAACATTTGGTCCTCTGGCTTTCAGACCGGTTTATCTCCGCCTGGTGCATCTCTCTGCCTCCTTTTCCCTGTTTTACACACGTAGTTGGATGATAGACCACTACAGCCATTGTTTTTCTTAGTGATTTGAACAGTTTCAAAGCCAAGATTAAGTATGTATTGGTTTAGCATTAGTTTAGTGTTTACGTAATTTTTTTACTGAGGTGTACACGGAGAATCTGTGATGGGTGAGAATATAAACAGGAATTTAAGAATTACCTTTAAAACTCACTAATTCTGTTCTTGCAAAAATGATAATGGTGCAAATATGAATTCCTCCACAACCCAAATCTACCAGAAAAAAAGGAAGTGTTTTTTTTTTTTTTACATTTAGCAAAGCACCATTTTGACTGCACATCCTAAAATGTCACCTCCGGGTCGGGGGAGAGGTCCTACCTCAAGTGGAGGAGTTTAAGTATCTCGGGGTCTTGTTCACGAGTGAGGATAGGAGGGATCGGGAGATCGACAGGCGGATTGGTTCGGCGTCTGCAGTGATGCGGACGCTGAGCCGATCTGTCGTGGGGAAGAGGGAGCTGAGCCAGAAAGCCAGGCTCTCGATTTACCGGTCGATCTACGTCCCAATCCTCACCTATGGTCATGAGCTTTGGGTAATGACCGAAAGAACGAGATCGCGGATACAAGCGGCCGAAATGAGTTTCCTCCGTAGGGTGGCCGGGCTCAGCCTTAGAGATAGGGTGAGGAGCTCGGACATTCGGGAGGGACTCGGAGTAGAACCGCTGCTCCTCCGGATCGAAAGGAGCCAGTTGAGGTGGTTTGGGCATCTGGTCAGGATGCCTCCTGGACGCCTCCCCGGGGAGGTGTTTCGGGCATGTCCTGCCGGCAGAAGGCCCCCGGGTCGACCCAGGACATGTTGGAGAGGTTACATCTCCAATCTGGTCCGGGAACGCCTTGGGGTCCTGCCGGAGGAGCTGGTGGAGGTGGCCGGGGAGAGGATGGCCTGGAGCTCCCTAATTGGGATGCTGCCCCCGCGACCTGGACCCGGATAAGCGGAGGAAGACGAAGACGATCCTAAAATGTGCATAAATGTTCTTAAGAAGGAAAAGGACTTTGCTTCCATGTAGTAAGTATCTGATCAGAGCCAAAGAATAACCCTACTCCTGCCCAGCAGATGTGTATTTATTTTTATTAGAAGTTTGGTTGCTTACAAATGTTGCATTTGCCCTTATTTTAAAATCCCTCTTCTTATAACAGAAACTTGTCGAATGACACGCTCCCTAGAAGAACATGATGAAATCCAGCGTTCTGCTGGGTTTTACCGGAGGAGACACCAGATGTTTGTCTCCTTTTCTGCATGCTTGCTGTTGGTTCCTGTGTTTTTCTGTTTTCTAGAACTGGTGCTCTCCTCCGCTCGACACTTTCCCCCCTCTTATTTGATTTCTTTATTAAACTTTACTGTAGTTTATGTGAATGGTGTTGAAGAGAAAAAATAAACTTTGTGGCGACGTACAGTACGTGTACATTCATGCTCTGAGGTCATCTGTATGTATGTAGCATTCAACTACAGCACTAATGAATAAAACTTCATTTACAAACGTCTGAGAAGTCATTCATGGTTGCATTAAGTATTTTCAATTTATATTACAGTATTTTGAATTGAAATTTGAAACATTTGGGTAATTTAAACTGTTATGGTGATAAACATCAGAATCCATCTTCAGTAAAAAATATTCTATTGATTTAAAGAGCAAGTCACTCCAAATCAACAATTTTTTTGCTGATAAACTATCTAAATGCCTGTCTAATCCTGCTGCAGACACGTGTAGTCAATAGTTTTGCACTTTAGTGAATTTTAGATAAAATTTAAATATTCACAATAAGTGTTGTGCCGTTGTCGGGTAAAAACTCAGCACTGCATTTGAATTTAAATCTGCCGTCACTATTGGCTAAGAGGTACACTATGGTGTTAGATGGTACATTATGATGTCACAATGCCGTGAGTGTGTAATTGTTAGCGGCTCCGCCCTCTCGGTCTACTAGGCAACAGCATTTGTTGCATTTTTCAAACAGGAAGTGGGAGTTGAGTAAGAATCTGGTAGGGGGTGACTTGCTCTTTTATGTGCTCGACACACGGGGGGCGACATCGCCTCTCCTCCATTCATTTTCAATGAGACATGCGCGATAATCGCGGGTCTCTCTCCTACCAAGCGAAATGTGATAAACGTGTGTGTGAAATTTTGCGCTCGTGCACTTGTCGTGCACAGGCAACCCAGCGACGCAATCCCAGAAAGTTGAAACATTTTCAACTTTTCATCGCTGTCGCTCGGACGAGGACCAGTCAACGGAGATTTCATTCACTGACCAATGAGCGGACAGGATGCTCCGTACACCTCTGAGCAAACATGGAGAAGTTGATTATTATGTTTTATATAGTATAATCAGAAGTAAGATTTCACATAACTCTAGCAGCACCTTGTGAAACATATCTACCACTTTATTAACTCTGAACTGCTTAAATAACCTTAATTCCCTCAAACGTGACACAGCCAATCAAAATAACGGAAGTTTTGATTTCGCCATGGAACAGAACGTGTAGACGGCTTTGCCGCTGCCGCGGATCGCCTCCCGTGTGTCAGGTAATAAAAGCGACCGCGACAAATTTTGCTGATCGCGGTCGTTTGTCGCCTCCCGTGTGTCGAGCCCATAAAGAGGCTCAGGCTCACAACAACATTGTGACATCATATGGTACCAGCTAACGTTCTAGGGTACCTCTTAGCTAATAGCGATGGCAGATTACATTTCAAATGCAGTGCAGAGATTTTACCCGACAACGGCACAACACTTGACAGTTTTAGGCAGAAAATTAAAATTTGAACTAAAATGCACTAAAGTGCAAAACTATTGACTACACGTGTCTGCAGCACGATTAGACACGCATTTATGTAGTTTATCAGAAAAATAGTTGATTTGGAGGTGACTTGCTCTTTAAGGTTGCACTAAATGGATGTGTTTATGATTTAAATTTGGGTTCAAACCACCATTATTGACTTGTTTGTATTAAATCTAAAGTGTTTTCTGCAGAAGCTGTTTTAAATAGGTTTAGAAAAAACATCTGGTTCATTGTATGTTTATATACACTTTGTGTTAAAATGTGCTCTTAGTACCAAGCTGTAACTACTCACTTACTCAGCATTGTGTAAAAAATGTTAGATGATTGTAAAAAAAATAAAGCTTTAGTGTATGATTTCTGTACAAAGAAAAACTAAACTGAACATCAAACACACCTAGTGGAGCTGAATTAATTATCAGTCAAGTAATAGTCTATAGTTTCTGGCAGCTGTAACTGGATTGCAGTGACTTAAAGATCAGAGAAAAATGGGGTTTTACAAATCCCTCACAGCAAAGAAAATAAATGAAAAACAAACCAGTACAAAATAATTATTGCAAGATTTAATAGTATTGTGTACATGTGCATTGTGTGACATTAAAGGAAGAAACAATTGAAATGCATAGTCCGGAGAATCAAATAATGAGGATGGAGTTACAGTTTTTGGTCAGTAGGTGGCGGTAACCAGAACGCAGTTTGACTCTGAAGCCTGAAAACAAGAAGAAGAACTGTATCGATAAGTGTCGTCGCTAGAGGGCGCTGTGGCTTAGCCTAACACAGCGGAGGCTTTTACATCCGGGCGGCTCTCCGCTGTTCCTCCCTTCCCTGCGCTTTCCACCGGGGAGGCTGCTAAACTCCCATATCCCCGGGCCTTGGTCGGGCGTCTAGCACCCGGTTGTCAAGGGGCTGCTCCTCAGCAAAACCGGCCGCACATGACGCGGGTTCCGCAGGTGGTGGAGCTCGGAGCCGAGCGCTCCCCGTCGGTCGGTGCGACATCTCCGCACTGAAGCAGCATCGCTGGCTAAACGTGAGCTAACAACATCGATCTCTGCGCTGCTCCACCCCCCTCTGCCTCCGGTCGACCCCGCTACCGATCTGTCACATCGAGCGTTGATTGATTAGCTAACGCTCTGGAGCACCGAGGGCATCCCGCCTACCCGCCGTTCTGGTGCAGGAATCCCGGCTGTGTGCTCTTGGATCCGGGGCCGAACACAGACTTACGTTAGACCTCTTCAACGTATAGATTTTACTCTTTCTACCTCAACACCTCGGTGCACCCGTGTCCTATTTTTTGACTTTTTCATTTCCCCTCGAGCTCCACCGACTCCGCTGCCACCCTACAACCCGACCGAGGAGGAGCCCTGCCCGGCGTGCTTTTCCTGCAGCCTCCCGCTGCGGGCATCTCTGGTTCTCATCCCCTTGGAGAAACCTCCCTTTCTTCTCTTTGCTCGCCAGCCTGCCGGTTTGCTCCACTTTACACCCACACGCAGCTGCTCGCCGCTCCTTATCTGCCACAGCCTCCCTCGAGTTGGACGTTCACGCCCGCCCCACGGCGCCCGAGCCACGGGTCTCGCCATGCCGGGTCCGGTGGCCGGCAGCAAGTCCCGTGTGTACGCAGACGTCAACACGCTGAAGAGCCGGGAGTACTGGGACTACGAGGCCCACGTTCCTAACTGGAAGTGAGGACATCTCAGGTTACTTGAATTGCATGCTAGTGCTGAGCAGATGGATGGATGTCTGTGGAGGAGGCTGGGAGAACCAGGCAGATGGGTGTCTATTATTGTACTTGTAGCTGTGAGGGTGTGATGACACCGTGGTAGTTCTCCCAGCCTGCTCCTGGCTGTCTGACACTTCCCTCCCCCTCAGTTACACGTGTTTACCCTGTCTTGTCTAAATATGATCTCCTCTAGAGATCAGGGCAAGAAGTCCCTTATCTGGATGAGGAGAAAACTCTACAGCCCTTTTAATCACACACAGAAGCTTTAAATATTCGTTTTTTTTAATCATACAGTCACATGAGCTGATTTCTCTGTCTGTCACCATAGCAACCAAGAGGACTACCAGCTGGTCCGAAAGCTGGGCAGAGGGAAGTACAGCGAAGTGTTTGAGGCCATCAACATCACCAACAATGAGAAGGTGGTGGTGAAGATCCTGAAGGTGAGCTTTGGTTTCGTCTCATAAGTGTCCTCCATGTTTGTTTTGGAGCAGTCGCTTCTCAACCGCCTGGAATTATTTCTTGCCTTATTGTGAGGATTTGCAATAAAAGCTAACGCTTCAAAATCTGCTGGAAGGTAAAAACATAAATAATCACCAGCAGTGACGAAGATCAGGAAGTCTGAACTCCTGAAGTCTGGGCACAAAGGTTTTCATCTCTGAGCCTGTAATCAGGTGATGTCAGAGGGGGTTTGTGCAAATGTAAACTTACCTGTCACTTTAATAGGTACACCTGGGTTGGACACCCTTCCTTCAGAGTCACTTTTATTCTTGGTGCCATGGTTTTGGGTAGAGTAGATCCCAGTAGATCAAGGTGTTCTGGTCCATCCTGACACGACAGCATCAGCTCCATCCGTGATGAGAAGCTCCCGTTCCTCCACATCCCAGAGGTGCTGAACTGGACTGACATCTGGTGGCTGTGGAGGCCGCTGGAGTCCAGTGAACTCACGGCCATGCTCTAGAAAACAGTTGGAGATGATCTGAGCTTTGTGACATGGTGATCGATCCTGCTGGAAGGAGCCATTGGAAGATGAGTTAGAGTTAAGATGCAGCTGAAGTCCAGACTAGGAAAGGGTTTTCCGGTCTCTTATGGTACCGTTCAGGTGAGCCTCAGTTTCCTGTTCTTAGCTGACAGGAGAGACACCTGGTGTGGCGTTCTGCTGCTGGGGTCCATCTGGAGCGGCTGGTGAGGTTCTGCAGACCTTGTAAGGAACCGGAGCTGATCTGAGCTGCTGTTGTCTTTTTGTCTAGAATCCGTCTGACCAGTCTCGTTATACTGTAGCAGTGGTTGTGGGTGAAAATCTCAGGAGATCGGCATCGTACCACGTTCACATCTAGTCTCCATTCTGCTACTCGCTCTGATGAACCTAAAAAAGAGCAGTAAGTTCTCCCATTTTAGAGCTCCATCAGCTGCTGCTGGTCAGCCTGGTGAAGCAGTTTTAGTCCTAATTGCAGCCCTGTTGGCTCGGATGGTTACAAACCACCATTAGCAACAGCCAGCTGCAGCCCAGTCTTCACTTGAAACACGTTCTGAATCACAGTTTTTACCCGAAGCGTCTTGCTGAGCTCTGCACATCATCAGGAAGAATAATCACTGCATTCAGTCGATTCTCTTTTCTTTTTCTTTTTTTTTGGAAACGTTAGTTTATGTGACCACTAAAATAACTTCCTGCTCTTCCAGAATCCGCAAAGGTTACAAGCCTACCTAGAAATGAAGCGAGGTGTCAGAGCTGACGGATGAGGATTGGCTGTAAGTCAGTTAGATGTAAACATCGACCCCAGGCTGGAGGAGAAGGATGCTGGCGAGAGTAGCAGCATCAGCAGAGCGCAACGACGACATGCTGGAGAAGATCCTCCATGTTTTATTTGTCCTATAATCAGAGATTTTCTGTTAAAATCATATTTTTTTTTAATCAGCCTGTCAAAAAGAAGAAGATCAAGCGAGAAATCAAGATCCTAGAAAACCTGCGTGGAGGGACCAACATAATCCGGCTTGTGGACACAGTCAAAGACCCGGTGGTAAGACCGGCACATTTTCATTCATTTATTATTAAATACAGGGTTTAAATTATGAATGGAGGTTAAAATATGAAAAATAAGTGTTTGCAAATCCAGTTCTGATTTAAAGAGCAAGTCACCCCCTACCAGAGTCTTACTCCGCTCCCACTTCCTGTTTGAAAAATGCAACAAATGCTGTTGTCTAGCAGACCGAGAGGGCGGAGCTGCTAACAAATACACACACACACACACACACACACACACACACACACACACACACACACACACACACACACAGGCTCACAACAACATTGTGACATCATAATGTACCAGCTAACGTTCTAGGGTACCTCTTAGCCAATAGCGATGCCAGATTTAAATTCAAATGCAGTGCAGAGTTTTTACCTGACAACCGCACAACACTGACAGTTTTAGGCAGAAAATTAAAATTTTAACTAAAATGCGCTAAAGTGCAAAACTATTGACGACACGTGTCTGCAGCACGATTAGACACATATTTATATAGTTTATCAGAAAAAATAGTTGATTTGGGGGTGACTTGGTCTTTAAAGGGACATTATGGAAGTTTGACAGCCAAAACATGTATAGAAATAATAAATGTCTTCTTCATACGTTCTCCTGCAATGCCCTGGTCCTGTAGAATGAGCCCTGGCATTTTTACTGTGATTGCCTGTTTTTCTGTAAAATCACAGAAAAAGAGAGATGCTCGGGTCGAGCAGGCTGCTTCATGCGCGTTCACGCTCAGGCATCGCCCGTAGCATTTGCTATCCGTAGCTTTAGCAGCAGAGAGAGAGGCAGTGCCACTTTGTCGCTGTTCCTAACGCCTAGTGACAAAGCTAGCTACATTTCTGAGGACCCTTAGCTACTTTCTGTAGAACTTTCTTCTAGATATTTCCTGCTAATTAGCAACAAAATAGCCATTTTCACTCCGAACCGTTCTTTGGTTTGACGTTGTTTCAGCTGTCATCAAGGATATAAATGTTACAGATACTGTAAATGTTCCTAGAGTGTAGCTCACCTTGTAAGATGTCGGACTCTCATGCAGAAGACCTGAGTTCGATTCTGGGTGTGAACATAGTTTATTTAGAGTTTCTTTTTTACATTAATAGTATATTTTTTTTACAGTAAGATGCACAAATTTTTATTTGAGACTCGCCGAACGGCATTGAATTCACAGATAAAAAAGATGTGGGTTCAACTTTCATTTTGGAACAATTTTTCAAGCAAGGGAAGGGAATGATCTGAGCATGCAGGAGGACTGACCCATCATAAACCTTTGTCGGCTGTGCTGAAGAGAAAGGTACAGAACCAAATTATTTAATTAGCTGCGTGTTCTCCTGTCCTCTGTCCTCCGGGCCACACACACACACACACGGGACTGTCTCCGCTGTTATTTTCATTAAGAAGTGTGCACGTACAGCATGCGCGCCTCGTGCACGAGCCTCCTATTGAAGCTGCCGTTACGCTTTTGGCCTGAGGGGGCAATCGCGAGCATAAAATTTCAAAACTCCGTAAAGTCACCAAAATTCAAGAGTCTCCCCCCAACATAAAGGGATTAAACATAATAATCCCTGTGAGGCTCTCTGGGATTATTCTGTGTAAAATGTCTTGATAATTCCGGTTTGCCTGCACCGTTTACGTTGGGGATGCGGCCGTTGTCCTGCTTTGTTGAGCTTTTGAGGGCAACTTTGAGACAGCTGTTTGTTGGGTTTTGGTAAAAAGTAAGAGTGAGGTTAGGAAGTGGATTCCTGCCGCATCTCTAGGAATCTGGTTTTTGATCTGGACGTCCAGGAAAAAGGGTGAAAGTTTGATTTACTGGGTTTATTTACTCCGTTCCAACATTTAGAAACCAAAAATTGCTAAAGATTTGCCCCTTTTTCACTTCCCAGATGGTTGCTTTTGAGTTTGTGTTCTGCTTTTGTTCATTTGTGCTCTAATACGTGGTGGAAGAACCAGATGGTGAACAAATGCCTTTAGATGTCTGCTGAACAGAGGCCACACTTAACACGCTCCCTCCAGCTAGTGAAAAAACGCACGCAGCACCTCCTGCTTCTGTTGTTTACAGTGGAGCTGTAAGACTCCTAGATGCCGCCATCTTGGTTTTTTGTAACTCCGCCTACTCATCTGATCACAATCGTGACGTTTAGGAGCATCAAATAAATAATTACAGCTAAATGTGTTAGAAAACGGAATACTCGACCAGGAAGTTGTGAGCTACAGGGATAAACGGTGATGTTTGTGGACAGTTCAGATTAAAAATGACTAAATTCAGCTTCTGAACATCCAAAAAAAAAATGAAGAGCCTTTCTGTGGGATTAGCACACAAACCCAGCTGCTCAATCTGTCCATTTAAAACTGAAGAATGGGAAGTGTTGCTGTGTTGTTTCTTATATTTACTAACTGGCTGCTGGAGCATAATGGTCCCTTTCATTACAAATGTTCAGATCTTCCAGAAGCCAGGAAGGAAGAATAATTTTAGGTTGTGGAAACGCTCTGACTCATCCAGGACGTGCTTCAGCGCTGCAGTGGGAATACTGCAGCCTCTCTTTGTGTTTTTGCTGATTTTTGGCAGCTCGACTGAAGTGAAGCTGTGGGAAGCTGCGTGAAACATTGTGCAGATGGTTTAGCGACGCACAGCGTTTTGCTCCGTGAGGTCAGAGATTAAGAGCTCGCACTGGGGCTGCCCATCAAACGGCTCTCTGTCTGTTTTCTCCTGACGTGATTCTCTTTCTGTGTGCAGTCCAGAACTCCAGCGCTCGTCTTTGAATGCATCAATAACACCGACTTTAAGGTACCGCCCGAGGTTTTCATGCTCAGCAACACTCCTCCTCTTGTTTGATGGTTTTAAACCAGTGAGATGCAGAATGAACTACAAATCACACGTCCTGATTGATGTATTTCTGCAGGAGTTGTACCAGAAGCTGACAGATTATGACATCCGTTTCTACATGTATGAACTACTGAAGGTGTGGCTTTATTTTTCCTGTCTGTAATCTGGGATCTGGTTGGAATAAAACAAGCTTTTAGAGTTGTATCTGCTCTGATGTCTCCTCAGGCTCTGGACTACTGCCACAGCATGGGAATAATGCACCGTGATGTCAAACCGCACAACGTGATGATCGACCACCAGTTAAGAAAGGTAGCGGATGCTTTTATTAGCCTCTCTCTGTCCCGCCACCCTCCCACGTCCTGAGTATTATCTCACCCTGCTGTTTCAGCTCCTCTTGCCTATTTCCTCTCTGGCTTTCATTGCCGTTTTCCCCGTTCGGAAAACAAGTGGGACTGCATTACCGTCGGCTCCCAGTCTGAGTCTTCCTCTAAAAAAATCAGCTGGTGTCATTTCCGTCAAAATAAATAATTACCCTGTTGTTTTTGCTGCTGAGCACAATTTTCTTCCAATTGGATGAAAATGCACAGAAAGGGTTTGAAAAAGCCTTTTTCTCCAGAGTTCATATGGATGCTTTGAATGAGTTAGTGGTTTCTGGAGTTTAAAGGGCAAGTCACCCCCGAATAAACTATAAAATAAAATTTTTTTTCTTCTGATAAACTATATAAATGTGTGTGTAATCGTGCTGCAGACACGTGTCGTCAATAGTTTTGCACTTTAGTGCATTTTAGTTAAAATTTTAATTTTCTGCCTAAAACTGTCAGTGTTGTGCCGTTGTCAGGTAAAAACTCTGCACTGCATTTGAAATTAAATCTGCCATCGCTATTGGCTAAGAGGTACCCTAGAACGTTAGCTGGTACCATATGATGTCACAATGTCGTTGTGAGCCTGTGTGTGCGTGTATTTGTTAGCGGCTCCGCCCTCTCGGTCTGCTAGGCAACTGCATTTGTTGCATTTTTCAAACAGGAAGTGGGGTAATACTCTGGTAGGGGGTGACTTGCTCTTTAAACTGGAATTCCTTTTGTTCTGTGATTTTGCGTTATTAAAGAGCAAGTCACCCCCAAATAAACTTTTTTTTGCTGATAAACTAAATAAACGAGTGTCTAATCGTGCTGCAGACACGTGTCGTCAATAATTTGGCACTTCAGTGCATTTTAGTTAAAATTTAATTATTCAGCCTAAAACTGTCAGTGTTGTGCCGTTGTCGGGTAAAAACTCTGCACTGCATTTGAATTTAAATCTGCCATCGCTATTGGCTAAGAGGTATGCTATGATGTAAACTGGTACATTATGATGTCACAATGTTGTGTGTGTGTGTGTGTGTGTGTGTATTTGTTAGTGGCTCCACCCTCTCGGTCTGCTAGGCAACAGCATTTGTTGCGTTTTTCAAACAGGAAGTGGGAGTGGAGTTAGAATCTGGTAGAATCTGACTTGCTCTTTAAGGACTTGCTCTTTTTTAATCTGTAAATCAAAGAAAAGCGGACAATCTCAGTTTCCTATGCATGATTTAAAAGTGTCATGTTTTATATGTTTTAGTTCTTTATTATGTGCAGGATCTCATCGCACAATCGATCGTAGAAACAAAGGGATCCTGGAAGGCGAGCTGCATTCAGATGAAATCTTTGATTCTTTTGTTTATATTTTTGCTGTGTCATCATAATTATCATTATTGCAAGTTTTAAGTTATGCTGCTGTCATTTACAGACTGAATTACTTTCTCGCGTGGGTCGACATAATCTGGAATATTAAAAGTTTTTGGAACAAAATACTCATTCATTTCTGGATTTAAAGAAAAGGGAGTGACGACGACTGAACAGGAAACGGCTGGCAACTCATTTAAATAATCGTTGGTTATTCATAAATATGCCCCGTCAGCGTTTGTCCCTCACGACTACCGATCAATTAGAAAACTGAAATAATGAAAACGAAAACCGCAGATGGAGAAAATTAAATCACATTTGTCCAGCAGGGGGCAGCAGTAGAGCACAGATGGCTTTAATCCGGTTTTATGAATGAGGAGCGGGATGTTAGACATACTAAAGAAGTTGTAGTTTGTGTTTTTTTTCTTTTAAAGAAGCCAAAATCATAAAGCCTGTTTTTTTTTTTAGCTCCGTCTGATCGACTGGGGTTTGGCAGAGTTCTACCATCCCTCCCAGGAGTACAACGTCAGAGTGGCGTCGCGATACTTTAAAGGCCCTGAGCTGCTGGTGGACTACCAGGTAACACACCCCAAACTAGACCTGAAAATGCACACACACTCGTGATCAGCTGTTGTCACTGACCGTGTCTGCGTGCAGATGTACGACTACAGTCTGGACATGTGGAGTCTCGGCTGCATGCTGGCCAGTATGATCTTTCAGAAGGAGCCATTTTTTCACGGACAGGACAACTACGATCAGGTACAGGCCACCTGTGGGCTTACGTCATTACACCATGACAGATTATTGGTGATTTTTGGTGTTAGTTTGAAGTTTGAGGATTTTTTAAAATTAATTAATTTTTTTATTTCTGCTTTTAAGATTTTACAAAAATATTCCTGAATATTTTTATTAAATTTAGATTTACGAACAAAACATGTTCATCAAACAACATAGCAAAAAATAAAGTAAGGGAAAAGAAAAAAGCACATGTAAAGCTTCAAATACACATTTTGTCTTCGTTGCCTTTTTGTTATTTGAAGAGGAGATGGAGCCATACGTGTCTTTAAATCTACAACTAAATGATTGTACAAAGATTCTTATGCATTACTCTACATTTGTGTTTAAAAAGTGGGAGAGAAAAAGAATCAGATCAATAAAATAAAATGCGGAGGAGTGTTGTGCATCATAGTCGGTTGTCCCAAATAAAACATTTTTAAAACTCAACAGAAAATCCAACTTAATAGTTGTTGAAATTAAAGTAGTAATGTCTTTCCTAAAGTTTTTGTGACGAAACTTTCCCAAAACAAGTGTGCTGTAGTCTCTGGGTGAAGGTTACAGTTTGGCAGAAACTTCCTTCTTTTTATTGGTAATACAGAATTTCTCAGTAAAGTCCACATCCTTGTCCAGTTAAAGAGCAAGCTAACAAATACACACACACACAGAGGCTGACAACAACATTGTGACATCATATGGTACCAGCTAATGTTCTAGGGTACCTCTTAGCCAATAGCGATGGCAGATTTAAATTCAAATGCAGTGCAGAGTTTTTACCTGACAACGGCACAACACTGACAGTTTTAGGCAGAAAATTAACATTTGAACTAAAATGCACTAAAGTGCAAAACTATTGACGACACGTGTGTGAAAATGTAGAGCAGCCAGAAGGTCTTCAAGTTGAAAGAAGTAGAGGCAAACTGCAGCACATGGACATTTGTCCTTGAGAGCCAAAATGCTTCTCAGGCGTTTATTTCACTGCTTTCCTTTTACAGATCACAAAATAAAATAATAAACCTCCCCAAGCCTCCACCTGGCTTCCTTTAAATACCCCCGAAAATCACACCTGCAAACAATCAGCCCCGATCATCAGCGCTCCAACATTAAATCCAAAAGGAAATAAACATCCACATAAATGTACCTAAATGTTAACATAAACAACAGACAAAACTGTTTCTACAATACAAGAAACATTTTCACACTAACCCCGGGTTTCCACGGGAGCCGTCAGCAGCACGTTACTGCAGCAGCACGTCTTGCTCGCGTAAGCTGCTGCTTGGCCCTTCCCACGAGACGCGTAGCAGCAGGGGAGCAGCTTTCACCGACCGAGCACGAAGTCACACGAGTGACTTCGTCAGTAAACACAACAACAAGCAGGAGAAAACTACAACATGGTTTGTGTTTTATGTTCTGTCCGTTTTATAATCGCCAATACGGACCTGAAAAACAAAGGAGACCGCTAGCTAGGTGATAACTTCTCACGGGGCCGCACAGTTAGTAACTTTTTTTAAAGTAAAGCAACCGGAAGGCAGTACGTTCTTTATTCTGAAAATCTCGGGAGCTTCTCTCCATTTCCGCGTCCGATTTCCTGTCTTTCCTTCCCCAAAAATGTCGAACTTGACCCGTTTCAGAGGCGTCGCGCGTAGAAAATAGAACCGGCAGCATAAAGGCTGCGACATGCTGCTCCTGAGACGCGGCCGACTCGCGCTGCTGACGGATCCGGTGGAAAAGGTTCTGTTGACCACAGCAGTTCCTATCAGCAGCTATGACGTGCTGCTGCAGTAACGTGCTGCTGACGGCTCCTGTGGAAAGCCGGGGTAAGACCAAAGAAACAAATCCCACTTCCTTTGGTTTGTCCAAATGAAGCAGCCAATCATAGGATGATCCAGGGAGGTAGTACTGGGTGGGCGGGCCCTCCCCTCACAACCTGCTCTGGATACAAAGCAAACATGAAATCCCAAATGGTAACTACATCCACGCCAGTGCAATATTCACATTTCAGTCTGGTTAAAATATTCCCCATCACAGTGCCAGCAGGCTACAGAAATTACAGGGGCGAATGGGAAATCATCCATACCACTTCGTCACAACGTGTCTGCAGCACGATTAGACACACATTTATATAGTTTATCACAGGGGTGTCCAATCCTGGTCCTGGAGGGCCGGTATCCTGCATGTTTTAGTTTGAACTCTGTTTCAACACACCTGATTTCAATCAGCAGCTAATTAACAGGCTTCTGCAGAGCCTGATGAGCTGCTGCACAGGTGATTCAACCACTGAATCAAGTCTGTTGGAGCAGAAAAACCACAAAACCTGCTGGATACCGGCCCTCCAGGACCAGGATTGGACACCCCTGGTTTATCAGAAGAAAAAAAAGTTGATTTGGGGGTGACTTGCTCTTTAAGATCCTGCCAGGAAGTGTTCCGGTAGCTTCTTAGGTGTGTTCTTGCTGTGTCTTTCTAATTCCATGCTTTCGTTCTTTTTAAACACAGAAACAGTTTTGTTTACCTGTTTTGTAGCTACAGTTTCGCCGACGGCCTTTCTCACCCGTCTGTAGGAATAACATTATTTACTTTAGTTTGACCCTCATGGCTTCCCTTCCGTCGGTGAAAGCATCACTAGTGAGTTTAGATCCTGCTGCTGAAACCGGGCCTGTTGTGTTTTCCAGCTGGTCCGGATCGCCAAAGTTCTGGGGACGGACGAGCTGTTCGGGTACCTGCGTAAATACCACATCGAACTGGACCCGCGCTTCAAAGACCTGCTGGGACAGTAAGTCCAGCGGGATGCAGAATTAAAGCCGAGCGCCTGAGTTGTGGTTTCCTCCTGAGCCCAAGCGTCCCGGTTCTCACTGAGGTTGACGTCCGTCTCCGCAGGCAGAGCAGGAAGCGCTGGGAACAGTTCGTTCAGACAGAAAACCAGCACTTGGTGAGTCCTGAAGTACTGGACCTGCTGGACAAGTTGCTACGATACGACCACCAACAGAGACTGACGGCTACGGAGGCCATGGAGCACCCGTACTTCTGTAAGCAACGACGCACGTCGTCGGTTTTCAGGCTCGGCTGGTGACGCTAACTCTCCTCCTGCAGATCCGGTCGTGAAGGAGCAGGCTCTGTCTAACTCTGACAACAACATGGTTACCAGCGGCAACCCTACAGCACGATGAAAGGTAGGCCTTAAAGATCCGTTTTGTTAATGTTTCAACAACTCCTCTCAGAGGATTGATGCTCCTCTCTTCTTACGTTGATAAAAGCGGGATTGTAGACGACGTCCTGCCCTGTAGAGTGAAGGTTCTGATGTCCTTCTGATGCGACTTTAGTTTCACTGCGTTTGTGTTTTTGTCTCTCTTCAGACGTGGGAGGAAGAAGGATGTTTGTTACCTCAACTTTGTACCTGCTCGTGACAGAAACTCTGATACGTGTACAGAGACGGAGGATCAAAGTGACTCGGACCAGTTAAACACTCAGATATGTTCATACAGACATGTCAACACACACTCGCGCACACACACACTCCTCTGTGTCAGTCTGTGATTGGCTCATCCTGGTTTCCTGTCCAGCAGTCTGACCAGTGAGTTTAAAGCTGCCCCCCCTCCTCCCAGCCCTCCCAGGTGTGTCTCATGTAGGACTTTTAAAGACATCCTCCCTGTACTCCTTTTCTATGTCCTCCTCTTTCGACCGCATCAGCATGGAGAATGAACAGGAGTGTGAGCCTGTCCCCCTCCCTCCTTCAGGTTTGACTGTCCCGCTCGTCTTTCTGCGCTCCTTCTTCTTTCCCGTCGTCCTCCCTAACAGACAGCAGGCGTCTCAGCACTACTTCAGATCTGATGGCATGGTGGACTCTAGATAGAATGATAAATATATTATTGACAAATAAATGATTTTTATTTAGATCAACTTTGTCTTCCATACATTTTCTTTAGAGTGTGTTCCTGCGGTGTCTTGGCGTGCTGCTCCACGAGACCCGGAAGCTCGCTCGTCTTCAGCCTCGTCTCGGAGACGTTTAAGTCCCACAGAACGCCGGGGTTGGTGGTTTGCTGTCGTACTTCGGCCTGCAGCTTTCTGCACTAAGCTGACCTTATACCAGTCCCTCAGATGACCCTTGACCTTAGATATTAGCTGTTTAGTTTAAAAGGGGAATTGATGAGTGAAGGAAAAGGGCATAGATGACTTGGGTCCTGTTCACATGGCAGGATTTTTAAACTGGCGTATGATTTGAGAACATCATAAATGGTGATAAAAGATCTTGGACATAAAAGTTTTGAGAAACTGCTTCAGTCAGGGGTTCGGTAACTCCACAGCATCCAGGATGACGAATCGCACATGCGGGAAGCCCCCGCGAGCTGATTCTATACGCCAATCGGAGGCTCCTCCTAATGGTACGCGTGCTTTTGAGGCAGCCAATCGGTCAGCAGTGGGTGTGTCAGCTCCAGGCAGACCTGCGGTGTTTCTCAACAGGGTGTCCGCGGGTCTTTAAAAAGTCTTAAATTAGCTTTTCCAAATGTAAGGCCCTAAAAATCCTTAAAAATAACAAATAATCCTTAAATCCAGTTTCCAAAGGTCTTAAATTACCAAAGACCCAACAAACAAGATTCTTTTATTTCTATAAAATTTTCATGAATTTCTAGTTAGTGTTCAGCATTTTTTGTGTACGATGTTGGCGTAAGCGGAACCGTACACATTCGGGGGCTATTTTTAGATGAGCACATTAGCTGGTTAAGCTAAGAGTTCGCGCCATGGGGAAGTGCAAGTTTAATGGTAACTGGATGGCTAATCCCACGTTTGCGACGCAGTTAGCACGGGTTTCAGGCAATAGCTGGAAATTATAGCTTAAATGTAATTTAAAAAATAGCTTAAATTTGGTCAAAGTGGCCTTAAAAAGGTCTTAAATGTGGCTCCCTTAATGCCATACATTCAGTTCATGAAACATTAGACTGACTCCCCAAAGGGTTTCCTCAAAAAACAAATCGAGGTCTTCTAACGGCTCCTCCTTCAGTAGCGAACACACTCTATAATCATAAAGCACTTTTGTTTCAATAAAAAACTTCTCACAAATAATCTTAAACCCTTCCCAAGTGATGAACCTTAACATTCCTAGAAGTTTCCAGTCATCCATTTCTTCGCTGACAGCAGTTAGCTGAACCTCTGCTCCATGGACGTAATTTTGGGGGGGGGCGGGACAGGGGGGACATGTACCCACCCCCCCGACTTTTTCCAAAGTCAAGTTTTGACCCCTGCACTTTTTACCATCCAAAAACAATATTACGCTATATTAAAGTGACACTGGTTGAGCTCTAGGACCAAGCAGAAAACAACTGTTTGTGTTGAAGCCTGTTTCCTATTAGAACATACTGTAAAGATACCCCCCCCCCCCCCCCCCCCCCGTGTCCCCCCCACTTCTAAAGTGAAAATTACGTCCATGCGTCTGCTCACCTGTTCAGCCTAACGGACAAAAACGTTTTAATATTCTCCGGTGTGGGGAGGGCTGCGCAGCTCAGCTGCATGATGCGTTCAAGTAACCCTCGTAATTCTTTATACTACCGAAAAACGGTTCCTAGCAATGGAGAATTTTTGAAAGGAATTTAGAAGATAACCTGGGTTACATTTGCATTGAAGGACAGCACGCGGCTAAACCGTTCGGATGAGATAGCGACCGCGTTTCTTTGCGCTTTATTTTCTTCTTCACTCCAAAAGTGTGGTGCTGTGCCGCGACTCGCCATTTTCCTCCCAACTTGTTGTTTACTTCCGGTGTTCTGGCGCATACAAGACGTCTCGCTACTCAAAAGACCAAGATTCCTTGCGAACAGAGCATGCGCAGAACACACGCTTTGATGGGGATATCCCGGTATGCGTTTACACGACCAAACATTCGGGTTAGAAAAGGGTTACCCCAGGTGTAGTAACCGGGTTTTTAAAAACCCAGTTATGAGCATAACCAGGTTTTTGGCGGTGTTTACAAGGACCTGCGGAACTGGGTTATTGTGAATATTCGGGTTTTAAAAGGGTTACTGGCTGCATGTAAACGCACTCACTGACTGTACACTCCACCTCCCTCTACTCCCCCACTTGTCCAGATTTAGGCTAACATCAGATTTTAACCATAGGCCCTATCAAATAAAAATGTTTTAAGCCTAGTCTTAAAAGTAGACAAGATGTCTGCCTCACGGACTAAAGCTGGGAGCTGGTTCCACAGGAGAGGAGCCTGATAACTAAAAGATCTGCCTCCCATCCTAATTTTAGATATTCTGGGAACCACCAGTAAACCTGCAGTCTGAGAGCGAAGTGCTCGGTTAGGAACATATGGAACAATCAGATCACTGATGTATGATGGAGCTTGATTATTAAGAGCTTTATATGTGAGAAGAAGGATCTTAAAATCTATTCTGAATTTAACAGGTAGCCAATGTAGGGAAGCTAAGACAGGAGAGATATGATCTCTCTTTTTAATTCTCATCAGAACTCTAGCTGCAGCATTTTGGACAAGCTGAAGACTTTTAACTACATTCTGTGGAATTCCTGAGAGTAATGGATTACAGTAATCCAGTCTTGATGTAATAAATGCATGAACTAGTTTTTCAGCATCACTCCTGGAAAGGATGCTTCTAATCTTAGCAATATTCTGACGGTGGAAAAAGGAAATCCTGAAAATTCAATTCAAATTCAATTCAATTCAAAAATACTTTATTAATCCCAGAGGGAAATTGATTGCTGTAGTAGCTCAGAAAACCTGTTTAACCTGGGATTTGAATGACATGTCCTGGTCAAAGATAACACCAAGGTTCCTTACTTTGTTCTCGGAGATTAATGTAATGCCGTTCAGGTCAGGTGATTGACTAAGCAATTTCCTTTTCTGGATTTCTGGTCCAAAGATGAGAACTTCCGTCTTGTCTTGATTTAAAAGCAAAAAGTTTAGAGTCATCCAATTTTTTTATGTCCTCAAGACAAGCCTGTAATCTACCCAACCGATTAGGTTCATCAGGGTTAATGGATAAATATAACTATCGTCAGCATAACAGTCGACTCGTTTAAGCTAACATAGTCCTCTTGCTGCAGCCAAGATTCTGTGAGAGAGAGCAAAGAAATCTGATTATCACAAATCAAGTCATTAACTAACAAAGTCTTAGAAAAAATGGATCTAATGTTCAACAACCCACATTTAATTTTTCTAGTTTTCTGCTGAGTTGAATTTGTTCTAATATTTGAGATTTCCATGATTTGCTTTATTAAGCCTGATATTTAATCTGTGTGATTTTGGCCGTGGGCAGGACGCTGTCTCTATGGGGTAGTGGGTGGGTAACAGTACAGAAGCTGCACAGGGGTGGGTTAAACTACGACTCTGCTTCCTGGTCTGGACCCTGGGTTGTCATGGAGAACTGGCCATATTCCTAGAAAGAAGAGCTGCACCATCCAAAGAGGGATGGATGCCGTCTCTCCGCATCAGACCAGGTTTTCCCATTATCAATGTAGCCCACGTTGCTTTCAGGACACCACCTAGACAACCAGCGGTTGAAGGACAGCATGCGGCTAAACATGTCGTCACTGGTCCGATCAGGCAGGGGGCCAGAGAAAATTACAGTCCGACATTGTTTTGGCAAACTTACACACCGAAGCAACATTAATTTTAGTGACCTCCGATTGGCGTAACCGGGTGTCGTTACGGCCAGCGTGAATAACAATCTTACTGTATTTACGCTTATCCTTAGCCAGCAGTTTCAGGTAAGATTTAATGTCGCCCGCTCTGGCCCCAGGTAAACATTTAACTATGGTTGCTGGAGTCTCTAATGCCACGTTTCTGACTATGGAGCTGCCAATGGTCAGAGTCGGCTTATCAGTGGGTGCGTCACTGAGCGGGGAAAATCTTTTAGAAATGTGGACGGGTTGGTGGTGGCCCACGGGCTGGGTTCTATGCTTCCTGCGTACCGTCACCCAGCCGGCCTGAGGTCCCGGCTGCTCGGGTTCTGCTGGAGGATCGCTACGGGGTTGTTCTGAGCTAGTTAGCCCCGCGCTAGCTAAGTAGCTACGGCTGTTTACGGGTTTTTCAACAGCGCAGAGCCGGGACTCCAATTCCGACATCCTCGCCTCCAAAGCTACAAAAATGCTACATTTATTACACGTACCATTATCACTAAAGGAGGCAGAGGAGTAACTAAACATCTGACACGGAGAGCAAGAGATAGGAGACGGAGAAGCAGAGACAGAAGTAGCCATAGCCGTGCTGAGGCTAAGCTAACTGGACAGCAAACTGTTCAACACCAAATAAACTGTGTGCAAACTCAAATGGTTCCCTAAAAGCTAGGTGGAACAACAGAAAATGTGTGTTTTAGCGTCCTTATGTGCTACAATAACTCAGAGATATCCTAGTACAGAGAAATTAAATCAGTTTTAGCGAGCCCCAAACACCAAACAGCTACACGTAGTGCAACACTGAAAACAGGAAACGCCTTACTATGGTGGAGGTTTTCTCGAGCTGTGGGACACCTTAAAGGTCCTGAACATATTTATATGTATTTAACACACTAATAAAGTTCTCAAATCTAAAGTAACTCATTGTAAAAGTCATCAAATATTTAATGCTAGGATGTCACAACTGTTTTTTCAAGTGCAGCTCTGAAGGATCGCCTTCCTCACTGCCCAGAAACCAGAGCTCCGGCTTCCTGCTCAAAATAAACCCAACCTCTTGCTCACATATAGGTTCTCTCTGAAACAAACCGTCTCACATGTTTCCCGGGTCATGAAACATTCAACAGCTGACTTGTCCAATTAGTGCAGTACGGCCTTCAAACACGCCACCGGCCGGCTTTCTGGTGTTTAAGCGTAGATCTGAGCCGTCGTTTCAACAGAAACATAATGAAACGGCTTCTGGACCCGAGATCTTTTCACAGAAACCACTGTTCTTA